GTATATACGTGTATACGTGTATATACGTATATACGTGTATATACGTATATACGTATATACACGTATATACGTATATACACGTATACACGTATATACGTATATACACGTATATACGTGTATACACGTATATACACGTATATACGTGTATATACGTATATACGTATATACACGTATACACGTATATACGTATATACGTATATACGTATATACGTATATACATGTATATACGTATATACATGTATATACGTATATACATGTATATACGTATATACATGTATATACGTATATACATGTATATATATACATACATACATACATACGTACATATGTATGTATGTATGTATATATATATGTATATATATATGTATGTATATATGTATACATACATACATACGTACATATGTATATATATATATGTATATATGTATGTATGTATATATATATATATATATATATATATATGTATATATATATGTATATATGTATATATATATATATGTATATATATATATATATATATATATATATGTATATGTATATATATATGTATGTGTATATATATATGTATGTATATATATGTATGTGTGTATATATATGTATGTATATATATATATGTATGTATATATATATATGTATGTATATATATATATGTATATATATATGTATATATATATATATGGTCCAAGAACAGGATGTTGAATGCAGACTGGGCAATTCAAATAAATTGAATTGGAAATTGAATTGAGCCGTATGTACTAACCGTAACCCCGAAAAAGTAAAATTTTCTCTCCTACATCTACCTCTATTACTTGTCGCTCTGACTGACATCTGAATTTTAGTAAAATCCCCACCCTCAGTGTCAATATTCTATATTTCCTGCCAAGATGTCATTATTCTGTGTGTTGCTGATTTTCCTGTTGCTCCATCATCTGCATGCAAGATGATCATTTTCCTTTTCCTGTGTTTTCATAGATATATTAAAAAAGCATTGGACTAATGACGCTATCTTGAGTTATCCCGTTTATGTCAAAACTTGAAAAGATTTCTGATCATACTGTCATTTAATGTTGTATTTGTTTAAAAAACAAAACATGATCCAGTTAAATAACCTTCCACCTGTGTTTGTTCATTTTAATTAAGAGTCCTTCTCTCCTTTGTTAATGTATGTCGGTAAAGTGATCTCCACTGTGAACACTGGTGAATACTCTGTCGAGAAGGTTGGCTTTTTCAATATCTGTTTTTGCTAAATTATCTCCATCTACTAGAACTGGTATTTTACTGGTTATCCTTCTCCCATTCATCTTTTTAACCATATTCCATACATGACCTACATCACTTTCTCTTCCAATAGAAGAACAAAACTGTCTCCAGGTATTCTTCTGAGCCCTTTTAATAATTTTGCTCTTTTTTAAAATAATCTATCACATTTCCCAAACTCCGGTTATTTCTTGGAGCACTATTTCTTTCTTTAATTAATTAATTTAATACAATTATCTTATTCCCAGTTATCACATGTATACTTTCCAATGCAGCTTTACTAATCATACATGTGACATCACTAGTATATTCATTCCTATCCATTTTAATGTAGCATCATTCTGTAAATTTGTTCCATTGAGCCTTTTGAAAGCACCATCTATAAATAGTAATGTCATGGATACATTAATCAGTATTTACAGGACATATAATGGGAAAATGATGACTACCTATGTCATCATTGCATATTTGCATAAGGCTAGCCATATTTGCAGAGACCAATATCAAATCAATACATGAAATGTCATTTCTATGTATATCCAAACGCGTTCCTCTACCATTGTTTCTATATATGAGATTCCTTGTGTTAATTTCTTTAATCACTGCACCGTTATCAGTAGGATCACTTCCCCATAAACTATTATGTGCATTGAAATCTCCACAGCAAACTACAGAATTGTAAAAGTTTATTATTTTTGATTGAGTGTTGTGTTCAGCCCCATCTAAAGCTGTGTAAAGAGCACGACAAATTTAACGGGTCATTAGTACCCATTTTGGGCTTTGTTGCGTGTCATTTATACGTCACTTTTTGCTTGTAACTCAATGCCACAACGTTTCTGTGAAGCAGTTGGGGGTTATATTTAGGCAATGGCTGCCGTTTTGTTGTTCTGTACTGACTACGTGTAAAAGTATACGCTTGTTATTCAAGTACTTTGTAAACCTCACTTTGCCAAAATCCTTCTCTCGGGCTTTAGCTGCCGTTAGTAGTTTATTCAGTGGTTCAGGTGTTTATTTGTGGTGGGCCAACATGAATGATTGAAGCAGAGAAACATAGTCCTCAGTAAAGATGCTATAGAAATACAATATTTATACAATATTTATTCAGAGTATACATGGAAACTCACATTCTCCTCCATATATTATATTAAGCAGGAGAGACCGTGTCATTGCTTCACTCACAGTACAAGCAATACAAATTCAAAATAGTTAGAAACATTTCTGGAGAGTAAAACAAGTCTTTTAGTTTTCAATGTTAGATAAAAATACCAAGCTACAGCTGATTATAACATAATAGAGAGCTACACTTATTAGAAAATAAGCAACGTCTGAAGCAACGTCTGCAATAATGACATTTTCCATTTTAATCATCCGTTACATGAAAAAGTGCACATGCGTTGTACACATCACATCGCGTAGCTACAGACGCTGTACTACACCTTGGAGCCAAATATGTAGCAAAGTAATTTGCTAATGTGTGTTAAGAGTTGTTGAACTGCTTCTTGTTCCGTAAATGTGCTCAGTTCTGGAATGAGTTATGTTTGTGAATAGAGAAATTAGTCAGTATTGTTGCACTTCCTTCCCTCGTCTCGAAGTCAATGGATTATTTGAATGTGCTAAATCCTTAGAACACCAGTCTTCCTTTAGTTTAGTGGTGGCAACGTGAAGTCATGTGACCGTGGTGGAGTTCCTTTATAGCCTAATGTTATTTTTTCACTTCTGCTGATTGTATTCACGCTTCAAAAATCATAAAAGTGGTGTTCATTTGTGAACATTATCTTGTTGAACAAAACGTGGAAGTATCATAAACGTTTCTTTGCCACAGAGATTATTTTCTGTAATAATCCAATGTAAAAATCCCCATTGGCTGTTTGTGGAGGGAACCAGTGTGATGCTAACTTCCTGTTGGCCTACAAAAATACTATATGTAGACACATTTCCAGATATCTGTACATGTTTGTAAGATTCAGAAAACACGTAAATGGCCTTTTATTAATAAGTGAAACATTAAAGTATTTAACTTCAAGAGCTGGAAAAAACAGCTTTGTGTTCCACCTCAAGAGTGCCTATAATTGGCTGTCTTCTGACATGTGACTTTTGTTACTCTCCCGTTACTGAGATATGTAAATGTGAGAGGTGATCCGTCTCACCCTAGTGCTAGGAAGTGTCGCTTCAATTATCTTCAGTGTACTGCCTCTGTATACCCGGGTCCATTCCTCTAAATATATCAAACTTTAGAGTTGTTTTTTTTGAGTATTTGGCATTTTCTATCAGGCCACAAGAATGCAGGGCACAGTAACATGATGTGCTGGTGCTGAGTGAAAGTAAAGCATTTTATGTATTTGTGCATTATTTTACAGTAAGTATGCGAGTATCACCTTTGCATATCTCAGAAACTGTTCATCCGATCTACTTCACACTTGGCGGCTGAAACACAAGGCACTCTGCGTTTCAACTAAAACTCCAACCAAAAATAGACACCAAGAGATCCTGACCAAGCATCCTTATGTGAAGAGTTGGGAATGAGAATGTGTTGACACAACACACAGAGCAGCAATGCTATTGTTATTGTTATGTTTTCTTTTACATGACTTTACCTTTTATGTTTCTGATAGCTGCCTCTTGCAAGATTAATACACAAGTTCCAACTCTGTCTTCAACAACAGAAAACCATTTCTTCTACATTTAGTCAGCAGCACTTTGTGTGACTGCTCTCATTTACATTCTTGGACTTTTCACTTATTAATAAAAATCCATTTACATTGAGTACACATTCTCAGATTCTTATACACATATATAAATCATATGTACATTTAGAGATTCTGAGCAGGCATTATTCTTGTACATATTATTAACTCTGTTTGCTAAATTACAGATTTGTGAATACATTCACAAATGCTGATACACACGCAAAGCTACAGCTTCCTGTGCTCATTCACAAATGTGAGTACTGATTGAGAAACAGGTTCGGAACTCTCCGCACACCTTGCGACATATTTGGCCCCAAACATTCACCTTCTCTAGCACCTTATCAGCCAGCTGCTCTCCCCAGTTGTTGGAATGTTCTGAACAAGGACAAAAACACAGTTTGGGTTGGCCTGAGCTAGTGGGCTGCTAGCAAGACTCGCTAAAGGAGAACTGCTCCACTGAAGGAAGTGTTCAGTGTAGCTAGCGCTAGAGGCTATTAGTGCTGTTGGTGTGCAGACCCGAGTGTGGCTGAGCGACCGTGCTGCTGCTGCTGCTGTTGTTGCTGCTGCTGCTCCTGCAGTTCTTCTTACCCTCTGTACAGGACCTGCTCTCAAGATTACGGGTCTTGCCTTGCTCCTCTTTCAGGAAGAGGTCCACCAGGAGAATCTTCTCCTTGTGGATCTGGAGGCTGATGTCTTTAGGGATGTCTGGAATCAGCCAGTCCACAATGTCGCTCATGAGCATCACAACGTTCTGGTAGAAATGAATGCAAGAGAATCATGTGACAATCATTTTCTCTAATTCATTATAAAACATGAGCCATGTTGCAGGAAACATGATTTACATGATTTTAGATTCAGATTCTTCCAGTGTGTAAAACAGAAAGTAGTGAGTAGAAGTTACAGAAAACATAAAATAACTAAAAACCACCATTGATTGTCCTGACTTTTCTCGCAGAAGTCGAGAATCGCCACGTGGCAGATTTGGACCCACAGTAAATCCCAAAGCCTGAAGGCCTTTCGCAGGTATATATTTTTTTCAAAACTGTTGTTTTTGTCATGAGAAACATCATGATAAGAGATCACACCAGAAATCCCCCTGCCATAGTCTAGGTACAGGGTTACAGTCCATTAGAGGTGAAAATTAATTTAATTAATAAAAATTATTTATCAAAAATTATTCCTCCGTAAGCTCACATTGTAAGAGTTTATAGTCTATCATACACGTTCAGTGTTGTTAGGGCTCATCTGATGTGTTGAAATGATTGCTGTATCAGCCAATGATGTAATAGGATTTATGAACAGTTCCTTGTCAGACTAAAAATTTCTTATGTGGATTTCTAAAAATCCACATAAACAGTTCGGGTTATCTATTCCTACTTTTCTGCATGATTCATCTTACCTGGAAAACAATGACAAAAGCCAGTCGGACAGCCAGCACTGCCCAGAATTCCTTTGATATCTCATATGGAGTGGTTGACCAAGGGGGTTCTCTGTAGTCCTTATACCTTTAGAGATAAAAATACATGTTCTGGTTTCATCTTCGATTCTGAAGAAAGATTCTTACTAATAGTATCATCCACCAGTGTGATCCAGTGACCCAGAGTTCCACAGAACCTCAGAAACTTCCTTGATTAATTAAATCCCCCAACACAGCATCAGGACCTCAAGTTTAATGTTCTGTGTTTTTCTAAATATCAGACTGGCAATATTTTACCAGCACAGTTGCCAGGAAAAAATGTTTGTACGTTTCTGCAAACCATGGATAAGTTGAAAGCTGTAATTTCTTTTGCGTTTGCGCTGAGCAAGTATTGAAAGCTAGTTACGTGGTATAATAACGAGTATAACAAACACTAAAATCCACTGAAGAAGACTTTCACCCAGGAGACCGCTATTCGTGTCCCGTGTGAAACCAAAAGTAGACGTTGACTTTTTTGTAAAAACTCTTGTTTTGTAACATTACGAAGAAAGTCTGCTAAGGGCGGTTATTTTAAATGTGCAATTGGTAACACCTGACAAGATACTCAAAAGAAATAGGGGGCATTTCACCTCCACCTGGGTCCATACAATCTAAATCTACAGTCAGCTATTTAAAAAAGTCAACTACTAACTAACAGTAGGGCAAGAATACGCAAAATTCAACCAATTTGCTGAAACTCAGAGCCGGTTAAAACAACACTGCTATCTTAGTGGGCCTATAGTTTACGTTAGCGGTCTATGAGTTTACTGTGACGCTAACGGCAGCTGTACCGTCCGTGTAAGCTTTGATAGTTTGTTTATTGGATTAAACAAATCCAAGCCAGCACCTTCCTCTTGTCCACTCCGCAGTCAGGAGACCAAACTGCCGGAAGAGAGTGGTTGGCATTCAGCAGTATGAGGAGATCATCAGTATCTACAAAGTAAATCATCTTCCACCTGTACTATGGAGGGGGAAATCTAGATTCTTTGCTGTGGTACCAAAACGTAATTGCAGCTATATTGTTATTCTGCTTGATAATCATTGAGTCCTGTTCTAACCTATAACTAATGTTTAGGGATTTTATTAAGTAAGTAAAGGGATACAACTAAGTTGTTGATGTTGTTATCACTTTCTGTGGTCATGTTTAGACACAGTATAAGAATATACAATAGCTCATTGTAACAGGTGACTAGTAGTGAAAATGGTATTTGTACATGTGGAAAGGTTTACGCACAATAGTACACTACACTAGTTGCATGCGATGGGTCACCAGCGTTCACAAAGTTTTTCAGTATGTAGTGTTTTCTCCACTGTAAGTGCATACTATAGTGGAACCCTGCACGGGCCAAAATAATCCAACCCCAGGCTGACAAAATCTGCAATTTTTTAGCCCGAGACCAACATCAATCACTTTAAGCTCTCTCTGATGTGTGGAAAACCACACACACACACACACACACACACACACACAGAAAGGAGAATGGAGAAGGAAGTTCAATGAGCTAGAATCCAATTTGAGGAGGTTCTATAAAAAACAACAAATAAAAAGCCAGTGGAAATGGTGCATAAATCTATATTGATCCTTTGTAAACGGTATAGGTAATATGAAAGTGATACATACAGTATATGTATGATGATGACGACCACTTTACACTTTAGATCATGTGGTTGCAGAAAGCTAAATGACTACAATTATGAATCGGTAACACATTTGCATATGTTTGTATATGTGTGTCTGCAAAACAAAGACAGATTACAATCAGATTAGTTGGCCGAATTAATGGAGTGACATGGCCAAATTATAGAAGATAAAACCACGGACAACAGAAGAGTAAGGAAAGGATCTCCCTGTTCAACTCCAGAACAGTTTCCTTGTTGAACTTCATCTTGAGAGAAATTCTGCAGCAGCATCATAAAACTCAATTAGGTCCATTCTGCCCTTTAACTTTCTTCAAGGAACTTGATTATTTGGCTTAATCCATCCCAAAAAGGCAGCCATTTTAAAAGTTAAACCTCCTTAAGTGTAAGTTTGAAGTTAAAACTGGATCACAGTTTTAATTGGATTTTAAAGTTTTGGTACAACACAATTAAAAATAATTTAGGTTTAGAATCAAAGCTAAACTGATGTTTAAAGAGAAAGTGAATCTTCGTCTCGTTTTAAAGTTTGTTCCAATATGATTTAAAGTTAAACCATGATTTAATCAGGTATAAAAATGAATCCTTGTTGGTGCAGCCCAGCCTTAGTATGGTCAAATTTACAAGCTATGTCAGACTTTGGAAACACCAATAACACTCGTTAGTGGAAATATATTGTTATTTGTTGTGTTTTTTTTTCTTCAAATGAGTTGGTAATAATATAAATTTTAGATTATTATTGTTCTCCCGTCTTAGTTATTGATGACTGCATAGGATCTTTAAACATTGGTTTCACATGATTAATTACATCACATTAGAAATGACAGCGGTATGTTGATGTTTAAAAATGCTAAATGTGGTTTTATCGTGAAATTGAAGGTCGTGAACTGAGACTGATTTCCCACCTGCACATCTCGACGGGGTGGCCAAGGTACAACGGGTCCATGGGCTCTTTGCCTTGCTGGAAGTGACTGACGTTAAAGTAGGACAGCGTGTTGTTGACAAATCCATGCATGGAGCCGTCGGGGCTGTACATGTACTGGTAGACCATCCGAGGGATAAAGTCTGAGGTGAAGGAGATGACAAACGCCTGCGTGGATGGGGAGGTGGTGGTGATGGGGGGGGGGGGGGCAGAGATTAGGGAAGGAAATGGGAGTTAGAATGTGCAAACAAGACAGTGTGGAATGTGACAACATACAGTGTCAGGTTGAAATGAAACAGTCCAGTCATGCAAGAGATGAAGTCTCTGCTGGCTGAGAGTAGAACCCTCTACTCCTTCACAACCCACTGAGACACATGACCAGTTTTATATTCGCGCTTGGCGCCGTAGCGTGAGCCTCCGCAGACGCTGAGGCTCCGAGTATGTATGGAGGCAATTATACTCTCTGCATTGTGCGCTGCATTATTCTCTGAAATGCCAGAGGGCGAACAAACAAAACTGACTGTGAGGTACGAGTGTAGCCCATAGGTGTAACTGGCAAAAAGCCATAAACCAACCTCCACAGTGCCGAGGAGGGATTGTAATTATCTGTAAACTCACATCTCATATTCATGGGCTAGTTTATTGCCTTTAAAGAAAAACAGTCAAGTATTAAAATCATCATAAAGAAACAAAGGTTGAACATGATTTGGCTGCAAAATATTTACTCAAATGAAAATTTCTAAGACCTCCTGTTTCTAAAGCATTTAAGAGCCAATCGCCCTTCTTTGTATAATCCTTAGACATGTAAATAGTGCTTTATAATAGCCTCATAGTATCCCACAAGCTGTTCTCTATTTTTGCCACCAGCAGTCACAAAGTGGAACCCTCCTCACTACTCTGCAGTAGGGAGTCCCAAAGTAATGTTACTGTAATTATTAACACTCTGCTGTGGTTCGACAAGCAGTTGAACCTCTGATTAATTAACCATCTGAAATAAAGTTTTACTGCTGATCACTATCGGCTGACATTCAGCAAAGATATACGATCAGAACATCGGCATTAATGCTTTCTAGTCGCCGAACCCTGATGATGCTACATGTTGTGGCAATTTATCATGTTGTTCTTTTTAGATTTAACTTGTATCGCTTAACTTTGAACATTGAGTGCATGCAGACGTTGCAAAGCAGAACTCGCCACCAAACAAATGTATCTTATGTCTGACTTGCTGTCGTCTCAACCTGATGGTTGTGAGAGCTGACAAGCTAACCCTTTCTCACAACAGGCAGGAATAACAGCACCGGCCTTGGCTCCATCCAAAAAGGGAGTACACCTGCGAACGGGGGGGGGTAATGTGCCATTTGTGTGAAACATATGTACTCTGTAAAACCTTTGACTTGTTGTTAGACCTCCGAACCATCCTTGGGGAAGGAGCTCTATCCATTCAGCTGAATTATTCCAAGTGTCCGTTCAATAAAATACTTAAAGACATTTGAGAGCTGAAGGTAAATTATAAAGCTGTCATGTTTTCAAATGTAATCTCATAAAAAAAAGTGGTGAAACTTGAATAAATACAGTTGCTTGAAGGAGATGATTTCACAGCAATATGAAATAGATATTACAAAGGAATTATGACCTGTTTAACTTCCTAACACTAGCTCTAAGCAGCTTATAATACATCATTCAAATTGGTGCTACTCATGCCAAGATTTCTTTTTAATCTAAGCATTTATTCAAATAAAAAAAGCAATCATGTTACAATCCATTTTACCATAACAATGCAGCACAGTGCTTGAAAAGACAATGCTAGCAAAGTAAAAAATAAAGTACTGTTAGCCAGTATTTAGCTGGTGTTTGACTATATCCAACTCTCTCATGAACAGACATTTGAAACCATTGCTCTCCTAGCCAGTTGAATCACAAACTTTAAACCTTAAACAACTGAACCAAACATGCAAACAAATTTAACATTATTCAACTATTTTAAAGAAGTTCGGAAGAAATCAACGGTACATAAAGTCATCCAACTTGCATGTGCTACCATGTGACGTGACACAGGATTTCCACAACATAACCACGAGCAGCATATTCAATATATCCTGGGCCATAAACTTCTATTTAACCTTTTAATATGATCCTGAAAATAACTTAGCACATTCAGAAAGTAATGTTATCCGTTTTGCTGAGTTCTGATAGATAGACTAGACAAGATTTTCCACATCTTGTGTTTTTAATGACTTGAAAATAGTTTTTCAGGTTTTCCAGGTCACGTGGGAATCCTGTTCACTCTGGACAGGTTGTCAGACTAGCACTCACACCTAAAGGCAATTTTTTAGGTGTACGTAAGGTACATAACAAATGTAAGTCAATGTTAACTTGGTTTCACAGGGGACATGAAAATCTGTCTCCTAGGTGAAAGTCTGTTTGTTTGTCCCATCCATTCATCCCAACCTCCTTCCTAGGCGGACTTCCTCACTCTTTATACTAAGTAAGTTGGTGTAACCATCTAATAATAGTGGACTTAATTAAAAGCCTGGTGCGTGTCATACAAGAGCTAAAGTGTGCGTCGTATCAGAGACCAAGGTCTGCTGACCGAGCGTCAGCGTTTGACAAGTTGGGAGTGAGGACACGTTGGTTTCAGCTCACACACGGTAAATTCAGCCGCAACATGTATAGGAGCAGATAGAGTTGTGTCTGTCTGTCTTTGGCCAGTGTTAAATAGCATTTAAAGTTTACTATTTTGCTGTACTGATGAAAGTTCACACGTGGATGTGGATGTGAATGCGAAAACAATTAGGAAAACCTGCATAGTACACTACATGCATTACAATCAATAAAAATGAATACATGCATGTTTTACTTACATTAATGATGACGGCCACATTTGCTACCCCTCTTAGTAAGTTGTACCATATACCTGTAGACACAACAATATGTATCAACTGCTGGACTTTACACATAAAACTTATTTTTTCTACAGTGAAGGAAAAAGTTTCTTTGCATTTTGTTTGTTGTAATGAATATGTTTACAGGAACATTTACAGGCACATTTCACCAAGATCTCACCATTACTATCAGATACTTTTATGCATGTTATGTCTTTGTGTAAGAGCTACAGTATGTTGAGTATAACCCACCAATGTCTTTGGCTCTTGCTGCCACTGGTCTTCGCAGCTCCGTCACAAATTTCTTGGCGTCCAGTCGTATTTCAATGATGTTGTTGAGCAGAGCGAAGAGCGGAGCCAGGGGGAAGGATGCCACGAACAGTGTGACAAAGCCAAACTGGATGACTGGACATAGAGGAAGAGAGAATAATATATCATGTTGTATACTTTCATTTATCAAAGCCCTGTATAGTAGATAAACAGTATAACACCTTTTTGGCCATAACTCAAGAATTGATACACTAATCATGACAGTTTCACACAAATGTCTATCAGGATAAAACACTTTCTATGACACCCATGTCTATAAATGCATTATAAACATACTATTAATGTGTTATAATCTCCTTATTACATGGTATAATTCTAATTATAAGCACAATAACTCCAATAATCACAACACATTCACTTTTTTAGCATTTCTAACAAGGTCAAGTATCAGAATACTTCATAATTGCTGGTCAATCACTGACCTTTTTTTGCAAGGATAGTGCATAATAATTTCCATAGTTGTAATATATAATTATCATTTTATAATGTATTATATGTGATTAGAAGTTACTCTAAGTGCTCATTTGTTTGCATTAAGAAAAGTAAAACTAATTTTTATGAAGTTTTTGTTCTTACATAGACTTAATTATATTTTTTTCCTTTACTTTAAGTCCAAGTGAAACTGAAATTAGACGGAAATTAGAGCGTCTTTAGCTTCTGTACTGTGAGTAGAACGTAAATATGGGAGCATTTGGTGCGTGTTTGTTGTTTCATCAGGTCATGGTGTTAGATATGTGTCACTGAAAAGCAGTGGTGGGCCGTCAGGGCCTGCAAAGCCTTCTCTGCTGGCCTAAACAGAATCATAAAGTTATAGCTATTTTATAATGACTATCGTGAAACAATCACATGATGCAGCTCAGCCAATCAAATATGGGCATTCTGACAAGTTTCCTGACTCCAGTGAGATGTACACACACCGTGACACGGGGCTGAGACGAGGAAAGAGATAGCAGAGCAATAGATTCCTTATGTCAGTTGTGAAAGTAAAATCATAAGACGGACTCCAATAGAGAAGAATGGGTCGCGGCTTGTCATTAAGGGGTGTTGGTGGACCACGCAGCCAGACCAGTTGAGAACCACTGTCCTACATGAGCGCAGAAAACAATATATTTCCTACAATTTAACATTCTGCATTTTCCAAATGCACTAGTATTATTCAAAGGTACTGTTCGGTTTGTAAGCTTCGTACCAAACGGTTTAATACGATTACATAAATAGTTACAGTAAACGAATAATAGCTGTGGCGCCGTCATGTGGTTATAAGGTGGTATTTCAGCTGCAGGACAGCAGTGAAGGCCCAGGTATAAAATGCACGGCCCACCACTGCTGAAAAGGAGAGGATGACTTTATTTTTAACTTGCATCCTGTGGTCTACCACAGCAGTAGGACACTGGCACATGATCTGATGAGTCATCATTCAGTCTCATGATTCAGACCAGTTAAACATTGGTGGTCTTTTATTCACTCTCAGGTGTCAGCCAGGCATTTATCTATAGAAGATCCCATAAAAATACTACTTGTGAACGCTCTGCTTCTATTTTTGTCTGGTGCCGACGACACAGAGTGGTACTGACTCATTTCCATGTATTCAGGTGTTAACCCGGCAAACGGCTCCAGGAAGTGGTCAGTTTCATATCTCTGCAGTTTCTTCTGTCTCTCTTCTTCTTGAAAGGCCCCTTGCTTTGACCGAATGTAGCGAATCAACTTCTTCAGCTTGCTGAGGAACACACACACAAACACATGTCAGGCAGACTGTCTCTCTTTCCCTTCGTGGTATGCATCCATGCATAAAGGTTTGGATTCATTTAGTTTTGTTCTGTTTATTATTTTGCTGATAAGTCCTGAGAGTCTGTTTTTGTGTTGAGATAGGATTCCCTAGGGCGTTGTAACAATTATTACCAGTTCTGTAGTCATGGTAACCTACTGTCAACAATGTTTATTCCCGTTTCTCAAAACGAACATGCTGGTTTCTGTTTTACCAGCTGATTTGCTTTACCATCTTGGAACGGAAAAAGATTTGTTTAGTTGACTATTGGAGGCTCTGTTCCTTTCTTATTAAAGGAAACAGTGATTTCAGCTTCATGACTGTTATTTGTGATGATAGACGACCAGTTCAAAGTGATGCATACTTACGGTACGCCAATCTCAAAAAGGTTGTTCTGAATTAGCTGCTTTCCCAACATGGTGATGCTCAGCTGGATGCAGAGCTCCATCAAACAGCCTCCATGAGCACACTGAAAAAAAGACACCAAAATATCAGTCCACGATAGCAACAAGGTGTTTTAACAAGTGGAGAATGACAACATACTGTACTGTATGTGTAAGAGTTTAAAGGATTGTTGATCAAAGGAAATAGTTTATCAGTGACAGCACTTGGCTACGACTTCTGTTCTGAAAAAAATTCTAAACCCAAGTAACACTTAGCTATTCCAAGATTGATCTAAATCAGCAGCTCACAGCTGGAGGAAATAATATATAGTTTAAGTTTATTTATAAAGTATAAACTTTCTAAAGCCATGCACGTCAATATATTTTTCAAACTGTTGTTTTTGTCATGAGTACTTTCACACAGAACGAGAATATTACGCCGCAAAAAAGTAAAAGAAATTCCGAAACAAGGTTGATTTTTGAAGCTTTCATACCGCTAATAAAGGCATCAACCAACCCCGTTGTGCGGAAATACATATTCTATATGTACACAATACTGTACAACAACATGAAAGCTCCATAGTCTGAACCAAGACAGCAAACTTTATTCCTCCTTTCAACATTGACAAAGGTAGCACAGACCAGATCCACTCCTTCTGTTCATACATGTTCGCTGAAAGGAAACTCAATAAAATATCTTACAGTTGCTCAGACTATACAACAGTTTAGCTCAGACAGACTGACTGACACTGCTCTGAGTCAATAGTATCCTGCCAGTTGGTTGAACGAATCTATTGCAACCTTTTATTGAAAAAGTGTTGGTGTCGCAAATTTAAATCACTGCCGGTATGAATAGTTTTGATGTGAAATGTTCCCAAGTACGTGTCGTTTATCCATACTCCCACTATTTTGCCTTGATCCAAATGACTTGATTGATGGTTGTTATTTTACTGTCTGGCTGGTGGCAGCTTCAGCCCCGGTAGGTTGTTAGTATGTCAATATATAAAAGTTGACAAGTCTGGAGGCGGTGAGAGCTTCAGTCAGTGTCTGCAAGGTTGTACAGTATGAAAATGTAAAATCTGAATACACACCACACACAGCAGGTGTTTTATGAAATATTTCCAAGAATGTTCACCAAGGTAAGAAAGAACAATGTAAATGTCAACAAAGTAGAGTACAATCCCAGTGAGCACCAACCCGGATTTCAACGTTGATTTCTGGTTGAAAAGTGGTTGAAATTGGGTCTGAATGTCTAAGATCTATTTTCACCGTCTTTTCAACCGGGTAAAATGCGGTTACAACATCAACGTGTCACAAAACACCAATTTGTTTTAAAATATTGATGGTTTGTTCAGTTGTAGGTTGAAAGAGAGACGATATTGGTTACTTTGAACGTATTTCTCCAAAGTTATATTACGCTGGCCGGTGAAATGTGGTCTACACGAAGACGCAGTGGTGGGCCGTCAGGGCCAGCTAAGCCTTCTCTGCTGGCCTAAACAGAATCACAAAGTTATAGCTATATTATAATTTAATAATTTTTCATAAATACACTACTTGTATTATACTTTTTTTTCCCATTAGCTTATTTTCGCCGCCGGCGCTCGGGGCCGGCGGAGGTGGGATCCCGGTCCCGCTGTGAACTGGCCACCGTAGACCGGCGAAATATGAATCGAGAAGGACTTCTTACTGGAACTGAAACGATGTACTGGGATTAAACTCTTTGTCAACAAATAATTCGGTAAGTGACAAACTGCGTTTGTTTTTTTTACATCTGCAGTAACGTTTTTATGAATAATATTTGAATGGCTTGTGCTCTTGTGTGGTGGAATGCGTGGATCCGCTGCAGGTTTGCTGGATTGATATATCATGCTTTGTTGTCATATGACATGTGACTGGTTCTTATGACTTTGTTGTTGTCATTGTGTTAATTATGTTGATTTGACTATGCATTGTCCGTTAATGATGCAGCGTCCCGTCATGCACGGATTCATGTATCTGCACCGTAGCTGTCCAACTGTAGTAGGACAGCAGAAGGCCCAGGCATAAAATGCACGGCCCGCCACTGCGAAGACGTGATTTCAACGCATTTAATGTTTCATATAAAACATCATAAATATGGAACTATAGACTCTGTGCTGTCAACAAGAAGCTCCCAGGACATCGTAATGAGAGCAGAGCACATTCTGTCTGTACAGTCTGTATGTTCATGTAAAATACGAGTGTGTGTTTGCTGCTGGAACACGCATGCGCAGGAACTTAGGCTCAGAAATCCTACTACAACTTTTAAACATGCACTGTGTCTGGAAACACGGCACGGGACCTGCGGAGCAAAGTGAACGAGCTGACGGATTAAACGAGGCGTCACGCTAACGACATACTCTGTAAGTACTTGAACTACTGAATTACAATATTGCAAACCAAAATATCCACCATTAGTATCATGCTCACCATGCGGTCAAGGCTGCTAGTATGTGGCTACATCAGCATTGACGAACAGTAAACATAAACATGCCTGTTAGTTAATGTTGGAGACTCTTTACGGACTGTCGCTGTAGCCCGACGTTATAAAATCGAGTATTTAGGATAATTCACATCTAAAACACACGACGGACAGCGAGTGGGGCTGTACACAGTTTAAATGGGGAGGACGTGAGTAAAACAAAGTAATGTACAAATAAGAAGACGCTCAAAACATTGTTATTTGGCTTACAGCAATATACAAACAATATAAAGTATTATACTGCGTAATATCCAAGTCAGCATCGTTCTGTTGAAAAGACATTTAAAAGACGACTATGGTCTCCTGTGAAAAGATGTTCAAATCTGGTCTAAAAGTGAATGTTTTTCTATTACTTGTTTTATTTACAGATAATATGGCAGTTCTTCTGAAACCGGCTCCTGTGTGGCTTTGACAACGACTTTTAAAGAAGGAAAGGGAGATTATGGTTGTATATAAATAACATAGTTTGTTATATTTATATTGTTGCGTAATAAATACATATGAATTGTTGCCTTGGTATTCTTTGTCCTGTAAGTGGAAACTGATGATGTGTTACTATGATTAAGTATTTAATTGCTAGTATAGTATTGAACTGTGAGCGTTTCGACATTTAAAATATGGTGACATTTAAAAGTGGTTCAAAAGTGAAAGTTTTTTTGCCGACTATTTGAAGACGTTGATTAAAAAACGTTCACGTTTAGACCAAATTTCACCGGGATGTGCAATATTGGCTTTCAACAGATAAATGTGGATGTGGTTTCTTAGTAAGCCTCTAAAATGAAGATATACTATTATTAGCACAATGTAGAGGACGAAACATTTTAGTATTGCAAATCCCGTTGAAATCTGTTGAAATAAACGTGAACATTCAATCAACGTCTATAAATAGTAGGTGAAAAAACTTTCACTTTTGAATGTCTTTTCAACGGTGGGCGTAGACGTCTTTTCAACGGAAAAATGCTCTCTGGAAAGGGTGTTAATTGTTGTTCTAAGCAGGTGAAAAAGCACTTCAGTGTGTGGTCACAACAGGTTTTGTTTGCAGATAATTTGTAAAAATTTGTGAATTTACCTCTTCCATTCTGTAGGATTCAAACACATACAGGTAGCTGCCTGGTCTGCCTACCAGTCTAGAGGAAAAATTAATGAACAGGTTTAAAACTGTTTTCATTTATCATCATGACATTTGTTGAAATTATATAAGAGTGATTAAACATATTACAATGACAAAATTACACTTTAAAATACAATGAGGGGACCAACCTTCCCCTGAAGAAAGCAATGTAGATGATGGGGGTGAAAGCGTTGACAAACTTGAGAATAAAGGTCTTGAAGATCAGTCGTTCCTCAAAACTCTTGTCTGTTTTAGGAACCTCTAAAAACAAAGAGAAAATTTTGCAATTTGCACTGAAAAACAGGCCAAAACATAACCTCTGATTGTAAGCACTCCACTTTTTGGCCACATGTATTAAGGTTAATATGTTTCAAAATGCAAGAACTTGTGGATTGATGTGAGAACTTGTAGAATACAATGTGAGAGCGTGTAGAACAAAAATCAAATGTGTTTAAATTTTCACAGAAATATTTACATACGTGAGCTGAATGTGAATTCACAAAAAACAAACAAACATGGGAGCTTGTAGGAAAAAATGGGAACTTGTACTTTGAAAATTTCAATGAGAGAAAATATTCACACATCTTCTGGATCTGAAGTCACGGATTAAATATTCACAAATGTGTAAATTCATATTTACATAGATACAATGACAGCTGCAAACTTGTAATTTTCTCATATTCAATTTTTTAAGTTGTCCATTTCTCCAGTAAAACTGGTATGATTCAACTATCCAGTGTGACTGTGTTGAGGATATAAAACTTAAAATATACAGTTATAATGATAAAGTCTGTCTGTGTTAAATTGATCACTATGAGCGGATGATTTTGTTTATATTTTTTTCTCATGCAAATTTACGTTTGTATATTTTTTATGAAATGGACAGCTTCACTATTCATACTATACAGTACATACCATACACTAGACTCTAGTGTATGCTACAGAGAAAGACTAGACGACAAAAAAAATGAAAATGAGAATTACCGCAGTTTTCCTTTATTTTCTCTCATAGCTTTCTCTCTTAGCTTTATTAAATGTCAGGTCTCTGTCAGGAAAAACATTTTTAATCAATGATTTTATTGTTGTTGGGCACAAACTGGACATTTTGTTTTTAACTGAAACATGGTTAAATCAAGATAACAGTGCAGCTGTTCTTATTGAATCAACACCTCACAACTTCAGTTTCATGAGTGAAACAAGAGCACATAAGAAAGGAGGTGGAGTTGCTATTTTATTTAATGATTCTCTTCAATGCAAGCAGATGTCCTTTGGTCATTTTAGTTCTTTTGCATATGTGGCTCTGAATTCCACTCAAGCTTTATTCCTAAACATTTACAGACCGCCTAAATACTGCGCAACCTTCTTTGATGAGTTTACTGAACTGCTGTCTATAATCTGTATTGATTTTGACTGTGTTGTTATTGTTGGCAATTTTAATATCCATGTTGATAATCCCCAGGACAGAGGGTCTATAGAACTATGTGGTGTCCTTGATAACTATGATCTGACTCAGCATGTGACAGGATCCACACACAGGGGCACACTCTGGACCTAATCATCACCAAAGGTGTAAACATTTCCAAGGTCGCTGTGACTGATGTTGCACTCTCTGATCATTTCTGTGTTTTCTTTGAGAGTGCAATCTCCTTGCACACAAATGTCCAAGCCGAGGTTGTGACGAAGCGTTACATCTCTGAAAACACCAGTGAACTATTTATTCAGAAGTTCTCCTCCACACCAGCCCTCTCTTGCATCTCAGTCAATGAGCTTGTAGATGGCTTCAATTCTAAAGTTAAAAATATTATTGATGCCATTGCACCCACTAAAGTGAAGGTTGTCTCGGGTAAGCAAAGATCTCCTTGGAGAAATGCTACGCTGGTCAAAATAGAGAAACGAGAGTGTCGGAAAGCTGAGCGCAGGTGGCGAAAAACTAATCTCCAGGTTCACTGTGACATCTATAAAGAGAGACTTCGCAATTATAATTTGGAACTTAGGCAGTCCTTCTTCTCTGACATAACCAAAAACAATAACAATACACGCACCTTATTTGCTACCGTCGACAGGCTAACAAACCCTCCAGTGTCGGTAGCTGCTGAGCTCCAATCCACCTGGGCATGCAATCAATTTGCCTCCTTTTTTACTGACAAAATTCAGAAAATTAGACAAGCAGTCAGTGCCTCCACACCAACCACAGGATATGTGTTGTCCCCTTCTCTGAATAACATCCATTCAAATATCATGACACAATTTCATTCAATCGACCGTAGAAGCCTTGAAGACATTATACAACATCTGAAGTCATCCTCCTGCTGCTTGGATATTCTACCAACACACTTTTTCAAAAATATTTCAAACTGCATGACCACTGATCTTTTACAAATTGTAAACACATCCCTTCTTTCAGGTGTCTTCCCACAACCCCTAAAACTGCAGTTATTAAGCTAGTTTAGACTCCGCAACAATGAAAAATTATAGGCCAATATCAAACTTCCCATTTTTAAGTAAAATAATTGAAAAAGCAGTTTTCCAACAGCTGAACAACTTCTTGGACGTAAATAACTGCTTTGATGTCTTCCAGTCAGGCTTTCGACAGCACCACAGTACTGAAACTGCTCTTGTTAAGGTTTTCAACGACATCCACTTAAACACAGACAATGGCAGAATTTCAGTCTTAGTATTACTAGATCTCAGTGCTGCATTCGAGACGGTCGACCATGCCATACTCCTAGAATGACTAAAAATCTGGGTGGGACTTTCTGGCACAGCACTTAACTGGTTTGAATCATACTTGAAGGACAGAGAATACTTTGTGTCTGTAGCTAATTACACATCAGACCTGACTAAAATGACATGTGGTGTTCCCCAAGGTTCAATACTGGGGCCTCTTCTGTTCAACATCTACATGCTTCCACTAGCTCAGATTATGGAAAACAACAAAGTGTGTTATCATAACTATGCAGACGACACACAAATCTACATAACTATGTCACCAGGGGACTATAATCCCATAAAAGGGCTGGGTAACTGCATTGAACAAATCAACAACTAGATGTGCCAGAATTTTCTTCAATTATACAAAGATAAAACAGAAGTAATTGTTTTTGGTACCAAGGACGAACGATTGAAAATCACCGCTCAGCTTTAATCACTGATGTTAAAACCCACAAACCAAGCCAGAAATCTAGGTGTAGTTATGGATTCAGACCTCAACCTGAACAGCCATATCAAGACAATTAGAAAATCAGCCTACTATCACCTGAAGAATATATCAAGGATTAGAGGACTTATGTCTCAACAGGATTTGGAAAAACTTGTCCATGCAGTTATCTTCAGCAGACTGGACTACTGTAACGGTGTGTTTACAGGTCTCTGTAAAAAGTCTGTCAGAAAGCTGCAGCTGATTCAGAATGCTGCAGCTCGAGTCCTCACTAAGACCAGGAGGGTGGATCACATCACTCCAGTTCTGAGGTCTTTGCACTGGCTTCCTGTCAAACAAAGAATTGACTTTAAAATCCTGCTGTTGGTTTATAAAGCACTGAATGGTTTAGGGCCAAAATACATCTCTGATCTGCTGCTACCTTATGAACCATCCCAACCCCTTAGGTCGTCTGGGACTGGTCTACTTTCTGTTCCCAGAGTCAGAACTAAACATGGAGAAGCTTCAGTTTTTCTGCACCACATATCTGGAACAAAGTCCCAGAAAGCTGCAGGTCTGCTGAGATCCTCAGCTCCTTTAAATCAAGATTGAAGACTTTCCTGTTTGCTGCTGCCTTTAATTGAACCACATTCAATTAATATATTAATCAATTTCCAAATACTGCTGATTGAAAACACGAAATTTAGTGATGTTACGTTACGATGTCTGAAAAGTCCTGGTAAACCGATAAAAAGTGTAAGCATCATTGAAAGACCTCAGAGAGGCCGGGTTAGAGTCCCGAGGCGGGGTTGGAGTCCCACGCTAAATAAGACCTCAGGGAGGCCGGGTTAGAGTCCCGAGACCGGGTTGGAGTCCCGCGTCTAGACAGGGTTAGAGTCCCGCGTCCAATTGTCCGGGTTAGAGTCCTGAGGCGGGGTTGGAGTCCCATGCTAAATAAGACCTCAGGGAGGCCGGGTTAGAGTCCGCAATGTGATAAAACTGTATTGCTAAAACTGATGGTTTTTTTTTTTAATGACTGTTTTTATTGTTTCAATGTATGTTCTTCATTTTTAAATCTCCTTTACTTTTGCCTTATGTTTTGATGCTTTTAATGGTTTTATGTGAAGCACTTTGAATTACCTTGTTGTTGAAATGTGCTATACAAATAAACTTGCCTTGCCTCATATGTAGTCGTGTATGAGAAGAACCAAAATGAACACTAAGCTTGTTTAATAAAAGCTAATTATTTAAAAACATAATTTGTAAAGGAATAATTCTGTCCCAAGCTTTTTGATCCATATGAGCGGTTGATCACTATAAGCGGTTTCCACTGTATGTATACAAAAATCAATTGAAATGGGAATTTTGAGTGTGGAAATAATTCTGGAAACAGGGCTTCTGCCCACTTCCAGAGTCTTTAGAGAAGTGGTGCACTTCCTGTAACAAGCACCTGCTAGTTTACTGATCTCAAGCTAGCATTATTGCTACTGAGCAGGTGGTTTCTGCTTTAACTCCGAAAAGGAATTGATTACAGATCTCATGAGTTTCAGTTATTTCCAAGGTTGAAGCTTATTGCAAACAGATTAAATAAAGATTTGTTAAGGGGATTCCCTACTGGATTACGATTGGATAAAATGCCATTAAACCCCACTGTGTGTAACAAAATACCTGCTATATAACATAGCTTTGAAAGGCCCTGAAATGTGTATTATGTCATTCTAATTCACTGTTCATATAAATTGTTATGAATTACTACTTACATCTTATATATTTAAGATGGCATTTGAGCAATATTGTTGCATGGAATTGTCACCATATATATGAATTATAAAAACACCTGAATACATTTTTCTGTGCTACAGAATCAGTCAGAATGCTTATGAAAGTGAAATTCCCTTTCAAAACAAAGCCTTGCATCTCCAGAACCAAAACTCTACTTGCCTGCGTTGAACAGTGAACATTAAGTGAACGCCTTGACTCTCTCTGACACACTTTCCGGATGCTGTTTTCTTATCGCTGCACAGTCTATAAGTTATTTCTTTATTCACAAAATCACAGACACAATATCAAATCATTACAATCATCATACATTAAGCAAAAGCAGTCTCAATAAGAAGGTCACTGCACAATAAAAAATAAAAAGGGTACAAGAGTGACCCACTCATTTTTGTTATTGTTAAAAAAGTCCCATTGTCCACTATTACAACATATCCTCATACAACAGTTCGTATGATGTTTTAAGAAAGAAAAAGTTACTCCTCATTTTTTGTGCATTTTTCTACAATATTCCAGCAACACCGGCTTGTTGCATCCTTACAGTCTCTTCAAAATAAACCTGTCTATACAGGAAACAACATAGTTATGTTTAGGAAAATATTGTGATTTAAAACAACTAGATGTGCCATTAGTTAAGTATGTAAGTTTTGTGATAAATAAATGAACGTTGACTTCTCGATTAACATGGGGAATGAACAGCGGTCTCCTGGTTAACAGCCCATCTCCCCTCTGTTCCACCCTGTGTTGGTTTTTGCTGTCTTTATACTTCCTGGTTTATGATTACATGGATTACATGCAAATTCATTTTGTGGGGATATCGATGAATTACAGTGCATTTATTTTCATCAGTATAGCTATGAACGCTGGATGAAAACAATCTGACTAATTTCATAGACATGTGACCTAGTTACTTACCTAACACAGTGAGCCATCGTGCCACAGCTCCGTACACCTCATCCAGTATGAGGATGACCACCAGGTTAATGATTGCCGCAGTGGTTTTAACCGTCAGTTGTGCGTTGCTCCTTGTGACCGGATTGGAGCTCATATAAAGGGCGGCTTTGGTGGAGATCCGGTAGAGGATCACGCCAAAGACGATGGCAAACGTAACACCGATCTGACAATGAAAAGGTTTTCAGGATCAACAAACAGAATACGATTGTGAGGGGAAGAGAAACAAACAATCCACCTTGTTTTAATGCAGAGAATTGGCTTCTTCTTACCATTAACAGCATCATGACAATGTTAGTCATGTAGGCTGGAAGGCGGTCTTGACATGTGAGCTTTTCAATCTAAAAATAGATAAATAAAAATCAGAAACAAGGCATGTAAACACACTGACGGAAATGCAGAGGTGAAAAAAGACTGAAAGGCTGTAAAAAGTGCTAAAAAAAATAGGAACGAACTTGTGACACACACAACTTGAATGATATAAATATGTAGAGACTACCATGTAATTACCTTGTGCTGTGATTTCTGATCTTTGCTCAGAGACTTCTGCATGACTCTGAATTCATATTCGGCCCTGGGGTGGTCCTGTGATGGTGGCACAAAACAGAAATGACAGACAAAGACAGTGAAACATAAGTGGTGGATTTGAATGTCTGTGGAAGAAGAGACTAGTCTGTTGTTGGGGTCTGACAAAGACTTGGCACCATGTGCTTTAAACAAAAGAAAAGACTTGGGCCTGTTTGTTCAGCAAAAGGCCTGATCTGGGTGGAAGATAACAGCAAGCGCCAAGGAATGTTTTACATGGCCTTAGATGCATAAGCAATAAAACATCAAAACTGCAATCCCATTGGACAAACAGCCACAGACACCCCAGGACCCCCTGTGGTGCAGCCCTTCTTTGTAGAATAGTACAAATAGTACATCTCACCGTATGATGTTTAGCTTGATGTCTGGGCTTAGTTAGGTCATAGTTTGTTTATTATCTTGTTTGATTTGCTTAAGTTACTGTATTGTTATAACGTGGTGTGTATGCTCAATAATCGCTGAGATTAATGACCGAGATCGTTAATGTTGTGTAGAAATTACTGTGTATTTCATACTGCTGCAATCGTGTTTTGAGATGGATCAGTCACCGTTAGTTATTTTATCGTTTCAAAGATCAGAACCACGGTTGGGCAAGTCCAAGATCGCCAGCCGGGTTTCTGTGATGAGATCTCTTCGTCTACTAACCCACGTGTCACGTTTTAGATTACATCTGCCATTGTCTGAGCAGTTTGCCTCTCTCTCTCTCTCTCTCTCTCTCTCTCTCTCTCTCTCAATAGCAAGCTCATAAATGTATAGTATTTCTTGTTAGTTTAGATATTAGTTGACTTGATCATTATTATTGGAACTATTATTATTATAACTCTGTTATACTTTAAAGAGCAGCTGTCTGTGATCACTTTGTGCATGTGTATTGTAATAATAGCTGGATATGTGGCCTGTGCTTGTACTCAAAACCTTCACGTTCTGTTTAATTATGTTAAGTTTTTAGTGCAATTATGTTAAGTTTTTACAGTTATTCTGATTTGTCAATTTTGCTTGATTTTGTTACCCATCCTAATTATTGTACATACTTTGGGTGAATAAAATCCCTATTTTCTCCACTTTACCTGCTCTCCCAGCTTTATGCGTACCCTGGTCCCCTACAGGTGCCTTTGGACAAAGAGCACATCTTCCTTCACATTTGGTGGGCCTGAGTTTGACCTGCTTCAATCCCTCCACATGGTCCTTGACGAACATATAAACATCATGTCTTACCCCAACCTGGACCTGCCATTTATTTTCAGCACATCTACCAACCATGCTGTAAGTCAGTGGTCGCTCTCCAAAATAAAATAAAAATAAATTCAGAAACGCATTGGGCCTCATTCTCGAACATTTTCTGAAGTGTCTTCTGAAATGTTTTCTTACGGACTTCGGAAGACCAACGTCAGAAAAGATCTCCGCCTGAAAATGGGTTCATACACAGCCGAAGTGTTCTCAGCTGTGCTCCCCCGAATGAGGATTCTTAAATCGCGTGCACCTGGATTTGCATACAGAAACGCCCCGCCAGCTCCTTATAAGGGCATGCAACTGAAGAGATGTGTGCACAATCGACAGACTCCACAGGCAACGCGAAAGCAACTTCAGACTGATTAAAATCATGTCAAAGCAGAAAGTCCTGTCCGGATCTAGTCCTATAGTGTTTTTCTCTGTAGATTGTAATCCTAGTTTGACTTGATTATAGTAAATGCATTGGGTGCCTTCCATTTCAGCCCATCATACAATATTTATCATTCGATAATTAAGATGTACTTGAAATGTGTTTTTATTTTTGTTATTCATGTTTTTTTCTCCATTGAATGGTATATTTGACACTGAACTAGTTCATCTTTATCTCAGTGATAGTGTCCAAATGAGCATAAAATATCACTGGTATGTAAAAACTACACGGACAACAAAATAGATGTAAATGTTGATCAAAAGCTTATTCCCTTCTGCTCATAATAAAACAAGTAAACAACTCAAAAGTTGACACTGTCTGGTCCATTCTCCATCCATTGTTTTGCGGTCCCTTTAAGAATTAGGATTTGGGAGTGACGCGGATATGAAAGCTAGTTTATCCGTCTTTCCTTCACAAGCAGGAAATTTATTTCTCTCTCTTTATTTGAGAAAAGTTCATATTTGTGTTGTCAAATTTCACTGTGACCCTTAAATTCTGTCTCTTGTGTTATCATATACTGAATGCAAGCAAAACTACAGGGCAAAATCACACTCTTTCTGATTGAACCAATCTATGAACTGTCTGAAACAATGGATTTTCGCGGCCCCAAAAAAAATTGCCGTCAAACATGACACCCGCACAAACATGTCACGCTCCCCGTGGGGCTAAGCCCCCCCTTTCTTTGAATCCTAGAAACGCCCTTGGTCTGGACAGTCTTTTTCTCTCAACGCCTCAATAGGTAGATCTTGCCTGTCACCAAGGCAGAGGTCGGGGATCTTGGGCTTAAAAAGGTTGGTGACCACTGCTGTAAGTCATGAAGAGCCTGAAACAAACACCAACCGATCGAATCTCCCTGTAAGGAGAATCTTGCCTGACAGGGGAAGGCTTCAGCTTGAAGGTGGACTGTTGTTCAGAAAGACAAGGCAGCTACGACAACTGATATTACTTGCAAAATACAGATCCAGTACCCTGAAATACTCATGGACCATTTTACTCGGTCCCAAGCCTATACTCGGTTCCAAGCCTATACCTAGCAAGGGTGTAGGTTTTTAGTTTAACATTTTAGGGGACACTCACAGGACACTTGAGCATCAAAACACTTAAATTCCTGCTTTCTGGTAAATTTTTAGGCACCAATTTATCAATTTATTATCAATAATAGATATAATTAATTGATGGTGTAAATGTCTTAATTTATGTAAAGGAAGACACAAAATTCAGACGCCATGTGACGATTTAGACAGTGGCGGGCCGTGCTTTTTATACATTGGCCTTCACTGCTGTCCTGCAGCTGAAACATAGCTACGGTTATTATTTGTTTCGTGTCAAAATTAAGCCAACACCTGTAGATAGAGTGCGTCTCCTCTCTGCTCTGACTGCAGCTGGGACTGCTGCGCGAGGCGCCTGTGTGTGCTTTGGGGCGGCGGAGGGGCTCACGGCAGCTCCCGCTGCTCGTTCATAACAGTGCAGAATGTACGTGCTTTAATGAGTCAAAACACCACAAAAGTCTCCAACAACACCAGAAAAAGTCACTAGATTTGTCACTAGTAGCTTTTGACAAAAAAAAGTCGGCATGAGGGTTTGGAAAGTCGCCAGATTTAGCGAGAGTGTCGCCAAGTTGCTAACACTGGCACCAGCTAAATATGTCCCCAGAGCAACATTGGACGAAACAATGGTTCCTATCACATATAAAACCAAACAAAAATCCATCTCCATAAAATCAAGTTGTACAAATAATAATATATAAACAAGCATATTAAAGCTACTGCAGATGTAAAAACAAACGCATTTAACTTACCAGAGCTGCTATTCACTATTTAAAGACAAAGTCCATCCTGCTTTCTTTGTTAATAAAGAGTTTAATCCCACGGTTGTTCAGTACATCCGTGCGTTTTAGTTCCAGTAAGAAGTCCTTCTCGATTCATGGACGCCAGTGAAGATAGTCAAGCCTCCTCAGTTGTATTTCTTGAATAGGTTTTAATGCGTTTGAGGGCTGAAAATGTCCGCTCGACAGAGGCAGCAGATATTGGGATCGTCACCGCCCAACATGTCACACTAGCCCACTGACCAATCACGTACTTGTAGGCCAGCTAGCAGGCTCTGGCACGTCAAAGAATACGCCCAACATGTCAAACTAAAGATCTGATTGGTTAAAGACTATGACAATTAACAATATCGTCCCAATTTACTTAAACTGCAAAGGGATTCACTTGTGAGTCTGCAGGCCTCGGGCCTCTCTTCTTACCTAGAGACACAGAGGTGAAATCTGATTGGATAAAAGCTATACTTAAAACAAGCTGCACTGGAAGCAGAGCAACTGAGGAAGACAGTACCTGTGCAATAAGAAAATAAGATAATGGGAAAAATATTTTTATAAATTATAATACATGTAGTGTATATAAGAAAAATTATTAAATTATAAAATAGCTATAACTTTGTGATTCTGTTTCAGCCAGCAGAGAAGGCTTTGAAAGCACTGACGGCCTACCACTGGATTTAGAATATAATGGAATATAATGCAGTAAAGCTCTCAGGCATAATTATTCTCCTGTAGATCAACTTTTCTCATTTAAAGTTATCTCTGCTGAGTCAGCACACTTGTAGGCATGATTTAGGCTTCCCTTTTGTTTGGGAAAGTAACCTCTTTAAATGTGCATGTGGCCCCTATTCACAACATCAGGTTCTTTAGCGAATTTTTGAAATGTTACAAAAACAGAAATTCAAATAAGGTGCGTTTCCATCAACTGGTTTGGAGGGAACAAACTCGGCTACAGGGGAGTTTGGTCAGAAGTTGGCGCTATAGGCTTTGCATGGCTGTAATCCGGTAGGTCTCGAATCTGAAACAAAACAAGTCACCATGGCCATCTAACCACCTCTAACCCATCTATGAGAGAAAAAGGAAGAGAGGTCTCAAGGTTTGTTTGGACATCGATCAGCTACTATTGGCCGCTGTATACGATCAAAGACAAGCATTTGCGTGTTATGGCACTATCCAAGAAGGCGGTGACAGCAGCTGTTTACAGGTGGCAGCTGTTTTCTCTGACACGCTGTTTAATGAGCATAACAGTAGAGTCCATACTCACCCCCCGAACCACTGGTGTGTTTAAACATAACATAGATTTTAAATGAAACATTGTGTCAGGAAATGAAATGAACACTCGCAGTTAGAATAAAAGCGAGCAGGAGAAAGAAATGGTTGAGTTGAAAGGTCAGGAAATAATCGCAGCACTTCAAGAGAGGAAAAGTGATCATATTGTAAAGGTTGATAGCAGCATTTTATGGAGACTGGGAGTGGGACTTTTCTGTAATTAACTATGTACATATATTATGTTATTTTCCTGAAAAAAATGCGTTATACTGGTGAATTAATGTAATTATCAGATATATTTCTGACATTAATCAGTAAAAATAATTTCCTCTGACTTTTTGATTCCACCCTTTGTTAATTTTTGAGGCTGTAGTTTGTGTGTTGAATTTAACAGAAATATATGGTAATGTGATCCTATTTGCCTTATTTTGTCTTAAATAAGCATCCATCTCAGGCTCCATTCAATGTGACAAACAGAAAGAAGCAACAGGTAGAAAAACAATATTGATGTCAAGCAAACATGAAGACCTTGTTTCTGTAGTATGATCTCTCACAACGAGAGCGAGATATAGTGTTTCAAAAGATTAGCCATTTACTTCAGATTTTACGTTCTTAATAATTGAGGGAATTTGTTCTTGTGAATTGGCTGCTGTCATGTGTGTCACACACACACACACACATTCCTACCAAACACTCTTGTGTGCGTGAGATGTATTGTATGCATAGTTAGGTGGTAGCAACGTAACACTTTAAAGAGGCATATTGTTGTTGACTAGTTTATCATAGTTTTTCCATATTAAAACTTGCCTTTATATGATTATATAATGCCTCATCAAGAGATAGATATACAATGCATTAGCACAAAAATAAAAAAATGAAAAGCTCTGGTACGTATAAAATTGATTGATGACCTATCATTTTATTCTTCTTTATATTTTATATAATCATTAATTTAAATAAATGATTAAAGGCATGTCTATGTCCATGTATGGCTCAATGTGGGATTAAAAATCTGTTCGATACATGCGTGCACAATGTTATAATGAGATAGCTTCATAAAACAGAACAATGCGTAAGCACGGTTTCATAATTCTGAAAAGAATCATGCGTATGCATATTTCTGTGTGCATAAATAGAGTTTAATGTTGAATCAGCGCTGAGAGGTATGCATGTGCTCCCCTGACGTCTAGGTTCCACAGATTCTGAATCTTTTGACAAGTGATTGCGATCACTTCTCCTTGTTGCAGTTTGTCTAGATTTGGCGTTCGGCGTTATTTTAGAATGCTACATGTTAAGTGTAAATAATTTAGACTTTTTTTGTCACTGAAGCAATTCTGATAATGTTTGGCCTCATTCTAATACCTATACTAATGGACAAAACCTCAGTTACGTTGTGCACCATGTAAATAGAACAAAGACTCCATTTGCAAATTGAATTCATAGTAACACACATACTGTATGTCTTGTGTTATGATCTGAGTTTGGAAGCTGCAGCAGAAAGACTAAAAGAGTAAAGAGAGGACTTTATCAAGTGAAATGAATTTATCCAAACCTTGAGAGCTTCCTGTGAAAAATAAACCCAGAGAGAGAGAAAGACAGAGACAGAGAGCGAGAGACAGACGGAGAAAGGTGGACAGGGAGATGGGGGGGGTGTTAGTAAAAACTACAGCATCAGATTATTACATTCATTTCACTTCATGTATCCATATGATTTGAAAATACTTCTTTGGTAGCTTAAAACATTTTCTCGACTACATCACTTTTGGTTGGTTCCCATTTGTTTTAAACAGAGAATGTGTTGATTTGGCAGCATCTAGTGGTGAGGTTGTAGATTGCACTCAACTGACACTTCTCCTGTGTGCCAAAGTGTAGGAAATCTACGGTGGTCGAAATGAAAACGTGAATGGTTATGTTATTTGGTCACCACTCACCTCCTCATCTTCAAACCCAGTCAGGTCCCATTCATAGTTCAGTCTCATCTGCCTCCTCTTCCAGTGCTCCATGAACATGGCAGCTTTGAACCAGACAGAATATAATTAGACCAATACAGAGGCACTTTTTATTACCCTTCAACTTTAAATCTTTTGCATTTGGCTGACCAGGTGCATTGGCTAAGGGAGGACGGTGGTGGTAATAGGTAAATGGTTAGTCAATATCTCAAACTATCTGATGACGATAAGACTCTGGAGGCAACGGACAATATTTTGGGGGTTCCAGTGTAGACAGCGGACATCAGGGCCAAGACTTCCTCTTCGGTCTACTGCTCATTGTTTACAATATTAGTGGAGTTTCATGGGTATCCACTTTATACTCAGTTAACATTTTATTTGTTAGCTAATATAAAGCTAAATAGCTGTCAGACGATAGCCTGTTGGTTCCCAAATTGCGTTTGCTCTCACACGGACTGTTTACCTGCATGAGGCCAAAGCCCGCTCGAATGTGATTGCTCAATACAACTCTGACTACAAACGGAAACCAGAACACTTCTGATACCAAAATCTAGTCCCGCAGCCTCCAGATTCTGCATTCAGATCCGGATTAATAGTTATGTACTATAGGTGAAGACTGGTGGTAAATGCCTTCTATCAGCGTCTCTGATATATTTCTTATTTTATTATTTGGATAGTTAAATACTGGGTTGATAAGTTGCGCTGAGGAGCATGAGGAGCAAATTATTAATGTGAAGTAGAGCTAAGTGTTTTTGATTAAATATTACACTTAAGCTCATATTTGGTTGCTTTTCCTGATGGAAGTGTTCCTTACACATGACGTGTTCGAGGGCCGCTGGAAAGTTGAAAATCCTACGATAATGTCTGTTTTTACAGCTTCTGGCTTTGATAAACGATGTATTTTTTAAAAGTCCTCGTCCTCAAACATGGATGTTCATTTAACCAGGGTCTATGAATATTAGTTAAATATTATATTTAACTAATATTTTGTCCTTTTTTACCCTCTCCAAAACCAAAAACACAGGAGCAATATGAGGAATAGATTAAACTGTGTGTTTGTTTGTTTAATGTAAGCCACCCAGCTAACTACCTTAACTTACTACAGTAGTAACCTAGTGATACTTCCAAGGCCAAGAGTTAGCGTATCATTAGCTATCTATATTTTGTCACATTTAAATAATTTAAATAAGTTCCCAGTTCAGGACTGGATTGTTCACTGTTGGGGGGGGAAACATTTCAGCTGGCAAAATCAAAGAGCTGACTATGAGAGGCCCGATTTTGTGTACCTTTGCCTCAAATGTAGTAACAGTAAATAAGGGCAACGTGGTTTAATGATACGTCGATTAAATTTCACCACAAATGACAGGACATACAGTGGACAGTGATTGTATGTACTGTATGTATTTTCAAGAGAGCTGATGTTCGTTCCCTCACCCCACAGAGCCATGAATATGGAGAAGAAAACGGTGGCGGGGTTGTCAAACAGGTGACTGGCCCGGGCGGTTGCACAGGCCGTGCTAAGCTTCCAGTAGCTGCACACTCGGTCACACAGAGGACACATGGTGATGTTGTTCCTCGGGTGGCAGATCTCCATGCTGGAAAACAAGACACACACACACACACATCAAGCCACGTGTACACAAACACACAGTCACACAGTCCATATCACACATCAACATACAGATTCATATTTCATAAATACAGATGTGTACACTAAAATTATCTTAAAGTGATCATTTTAATATTCATCATTTAACTGTTCCTCTGCTGCAACAACAAACAGCGCAGATATTAAGAAAGAAGAAGAATTTTTGTAGTTTGTTTCCTGTTTTATTTTGAATTTCCCTGCCTCTTGTGTCTCGTGTTCACTTCACTTCCTGCCTTTGTATGTTTTCCCGCCTTTGTGATTGTCTGCCCCGCCCGATTGAATCCTCCTGTGTCTAATCATTTGCATCTCCCCAGTGTATCTAAACCCTGTGTGTCCCCTGTCTCAGTGTTGGTTTGTCTGTGCTGTTCTGCATATGTTCCCTGCTATCCCTTGTGCTTTCTTCCTAAATTACCGTACCCTGTTTTTGTGTTTTACCCGTTATAGTTTTCCTTCTTTTTTTTTTTTTGGTTACACATTTTTGGTCTCTCCTACTCTGCAAGTTTTGTTTTTGACATTTTTTTGTTTAATAAAAATCACTCTGAATCATTCATCTGGGCCCCGTTCCTCGTACGTGGTTCAACTAAGTTAATCAAATGTCCTATTAGCCAGCTGAAATTAACCCGATGATTGAAATCAGGCTATGTCGGTTTCTCCAAGGCTGATCCGCTCTCAAACAGTCTCGTTAATTCGAACCAGACGATCAGGATCAGGATAATTGCGCGTGCCCGTTCTACTTCAAAAGGGGGAAGCATCGATCACCGAAACCACGATTTTCTAACAGTACAATGGCAAATAAACTCAAAGAAAGAGCCTCTTTTTTCTCCGCTGACGAGCAGGAGATGATCATGAGGAATTCAAGACCATAATCACGGCAAAATCTAACACTGCCACCGCTGCAAGGGCTAGACAAGAAGCATGGCAAAATATCGCAGACAAGTTAAATGCGTAAGTGTTGGGAAATGTATAGGCTAATTTTAAGTGCCTCATCACCCCAATCAATCAGATTATATTTCTTTAAATGTGCCTGCTGGCAGTAGGCTTAATGGAATACATCATCGAATAAGATATAGCGAAAATAATTATCTCAACTCTTTCAGAATAAGTAGATAAAAACAAGCCCAAAGAGTATCTAATTGATACGAATTAATATGAGGATATATGTACTGTATGGCCTTATGTATCATGTAGCCTACTATATATATGTGTATATACATGTATGTGTAGATTACCATATAGAACTAGGAGTTTGAATATGTGTGTGAATCTGTGTGTGGGCGGATCAGTATGTATGTATCATTCATAATCAGAAATTCAATCAATTGAAGAAGTGAAAAGAAAGTGTGTGATTCTCTCTATTCTTATCATCTTAATCATTTTCTTCAATAATAATATGCTGGTGTACTAATAACACTGTCATATAATTATGAGTGCTTTAATCATCACGAGGACATGGGAGCAAGTAAACACTAAGCACAAACACATTATTCAGAATGGTGAGTCAATACAATATGTGCCATGGTAATATAATGAATACATCCATACGTTTATTAAGCGCAAAATACACTTTACGAACAGCACGGCATGCAGCGGCTTTCCCGATGTTCTCCGCATCGCCGACACTGTACAAAAATGTACCACTCGCAAAACAGCGCAAGGCTGCATACAGTCTGTGAGACAGTCAATGCTCGGCTGCGGCGTGTGGTGTTCAATGTATGGCTCCAGAAGGTCTTGTAAATAAATGATTCCTTGTCGGCAGAATCGATAGCGCTCGTATAGGAAGTCATCATGATGTGATAACGGATCTTGGCGATGTGGAAGAACTCTCTCCCTATAAAATGCTAATCTAACTAATATCGCTCCTTGATCAATGGGATCTCTGAGGAAGGGAGCTGTACATTAATGCAATAGAGGCTTCTTAGTTTGCTCAGCTGGTTTTAATGGATCACCGTGTGTCTCACTTTACATGCATTTCCGGAACTCCCGTATAACTCCCAGTATACAGTATGCGCAAGCGCATTAGACTACCGTATATGACAGGAGCTGCCATTTTTTCCGGGGGTGTGGCAAGCTTATCCAGCTACCTTCAGTTAGCCTGCGCTGGATTAGGTTCAAGCTTATAGATGTGTTGCCATGGTGATTTTGCCAAACTTGCTTCGTGGAACTGAAAATCCTGATCTATGTAATCTTATCCTGAAAATTATCCGGCTAACTCAGTTAGCCACGTACGAGGAACGGGGCCCTGTTCTCCTGTGTCTCTGCGTTTGGGTCCATCTCCTGTTGACCCTTTTGCCCCCTGGCATGACAACCAGGGTATTTAGATAACTCAACGGTAGGATTTTCAATACTGTCATAAATACAGACGCTCTGCTTTGTATGATGCCGTATTGATGTGATGTAATGTAGCGCACAACAGGCGCCGCCAGAGTTCAGTCGGATACTGATGGAACAGGCAGCTGAGCTGAGAAAGATGCCGACTGTGAGTGTTGGGGATAAAGTTAAAGGACCACTAGGGAAAAGCAAAATGCCTCTGCCTCCGTTTAGGGGTATTGTTCTTCTTCCAACTACAGAAGTAGAAGCTTACAGCCACATGATTCTATTCAACTGCCAGTCTGCCACCACCACCTGCATGTCATCTCCATTCGGCCCACTTATGTCGGTAAATGCTGTATGGGCAACGTTACAGAGTCTGAGGTAGAGAGAGAGGTAGAGAGGTAGAGGTAGAGAGAGAGGTAGAGGGAGAGGTAGAGAGATGTTTTTAACGTTTTAGCTGTGAATGTATTGGCGCAATGCTAGAGTCAGTGAATAAATGCTACAACACCTCTAGACCCAAGTCAAGTTGACGTGTATCACTGTCAGTACAACTGTATTTTCTTCTGTGACTTGGATGTATTATAATAGCCTAGTGTCGGCTAAGTGTCAGTGTTTTTGTTACGGTACTCTGCACAGTTCTGACACTTGCCCGACCGCTCTCATCCCCCGGCTCTGAAGCTCTGTGTCCGCCGTTGTCGGCAGCACTGAGGTCACCAAGGAATTAAATAGTAAAAACTTATTGCCACACAATCACATGTTAAAAATGTATATTTAAAGTATGTAAAAAGGATTAAGTTGGTGTCTTCCAGATCTGAAAAGATTGAAAGATTAATATCTGCTATTATCCCTTATTAAGTTAGTTATAATGGAGATGTCCATCAGGCAGTCTCAATGACCACAGACAGACAGGCGGTCTGGTTTATCTCGGTGTGGTTTGGTGTCTGAGTGAGACGCTGACATTAACACTTGTACTGAGCCTGTATGGTCTGCGTTGAGTGTAAAAGTGTGCCGTTAGCGTGTGTCATAATGTCCTGAGGATAATGACAAGCAGGTTGAGGAAGGGGAAGAGGCCCTACTTTCCCTACTCGTTCATCAAACCTTTGATTTTGTCTCCCTCTCTCTGCATTTGTTCTTCTTTTCTGTATCCACTTTGATTTTCTTTAAAAGAGGGACAATTTTAACCTTTTATGTGGCTGTCCAATCAGTGTTGATGGTAAATGTTTGCCGTTGAAGCAATAAATTCCTGTGTACTGTATTGACCAAGAAAGCTGTACCAGGATGCTTTGCAAGCAAGCTTCTGAAGCCCCGAGGGCCCCCCCACCTGTGTCCTCTTGCACAGCTAATGCACCCGCAGTCTCTCTTGGCAGCATTTCTTCTGCCTCATACTCGAGCTCAAAAAACATGGCTGTATATTTGATTCAGACAAAACACTGTGAAATGTATTTTCATTCATAGCTTCCTCTGCACTCGTTTTATAGGATGCCATTTTCAGAGTTTGAAACGTAGCTAGTTGGTTATACAAGCAAAGAGAACAAGGAAGTTTATGTTTTGAGTGACACTAGAGCACGGCGCCCCCTGGCTACGCAGAAGCGGAGACTCGAAATCCAAGCTGAAACAGCAGCATGTTTGCATCAAATTACGTCACTGTCACGTCAAATGATGGAGTAAGAACAGATTTTTCAGCTGCAAACTCAGCTCTCTGGGTAAGTACAGCACACGTGGAGGAAGTTTTGCTTCAATTGACTACATTTACCATCAACACTGATAAAACATCCACGAGGTGGTACATTTTCCCTTTAAATCTGAAGGCCTTTATACACCAGGGATGAAAAGGCAAAACGAAATGAATATACTGCACATTCACGTTCCATACATTCCACTGAAATGTAAAGGTTTGCACCGACACAGTCATCAATGCACTGTAACTGTAACAGATATAAATTATTTAATGCTATCGCTTATCCTGTATGGTCAGGTTTTATACTATAACTTTCACAATAAATAGGCTACATTCAATTTCATATTATGCCCAAAGCACAGTGCAAGCTAATGCAATTGGAAATTAATGGTTCTCTATACGTTACCTGGACAGCAAAGTATGTTTACCCCCTCTGCAAGTCATTATTTTATTGGTTGGCTTGTTTTTATCGGTGTCCGAAAATTCACAGAAGTCAAAACAGCTGTGAAAAAAACCCCTGCACTGCTAAATACAAAGCTTCCTGATTCGGAGCGGATAGGTTCATATAAATAAATGGGTTTGAATTCATAAACTGACATGCGCACAAATTTGCATTTGATCTAAAAAGTCCTTTTCACTGTATTTTACACAGTGCATATTATCAAGCCATTGCTGAGTCCTAATATTTTAACAAAAAAAATGGTCTAACCTTTTGGGAATCATACTTAAATCGATTTCTTTACAAAAGAAGATCAATATGTTGCAGATGTGAACCAGTTTTGCTCTCCGTACAGGCATGATGGTACCAAACCAAACAACCTCAGTTTGACAACAAGACACTGTGGTGCTGCACACAGTTAATGCGACAGACATAAGATTGAAATCCATCTTCTCATCCCACTCAGACTGAGAGCTTTGAGTACTTCCCACAATGTCAAACTGTTCCAACTGTTATATTAGGGGTCATGAGATTGATGCCCAAAAGCAAAATATTCCAAAATAGCTTCAGGGAGACGAATAGCAGCAGAGAATGAGTGGTTATAGAATTGAGTGTGTGTGTTTACCTTGGTATGTTGTCATCGACTGTTGCACATCCATACAGAAACACAATGACCCCCACTAGAGAGGCAGGAATCAGCATCTGGGTGTACAAACCCAACCAGGCAAAGTACAGACCGATCTTTTCACCAAAATACTTCCTAAACACAAAAGATTCAAATCATTTAGATTATTCAGACAAAGCTACAATAATGGTATCAGGACATGGAAACCTGAACTGTACTGATGTGCTTGAAGAGTAAGCAGCGATTCAGATCGTAAACAATCCAGCGTTAAAACATCACAGCTCGTTGGTGATGAAACAATGAAATCTGATCGAGGAAGTCTAACCTGAGTCACAAATGATGCTTTTAAAGGCTTATCAGATGCCAAAACAACTTGAAGGGTATCTGATTTAATGCCTTTTAAGACCTTTTTAGACCTCAACAAAGAAAATGTATTACCTTTTCTGCAGAAGAAAAAAAAAATGCACATTATGATATTGATACAGAATGATATCCAATATTGACATGCAAATTACCTCCACAAACAAACAAAAATATTTCAATACAATGAATTGTATTCCACCATAACACATTACATGAAACAAAAAACCTTAACACGTAGACAGCTAAATCTTTTTTGGTAGCATTTAAATACAGTTAGCTTGAACAACAGAAATTTGTAAAAATGTAATCAAGTAATATGGAAAACAGCATTATTGCCCAGCCTTAACACACAAATACTGACAGAGCTGTCAAAGACCAAATGAGCTTGAGACTGAGTGAAGACCAAGGTTGAAAAAAAACAGTCATCGGTCAGGACAAAAATCAAAACTAAACTCAAATCAACGGATGGGACTGTACTTTTAAATCCTGTTTCAGAGTTAGATATGATATGACCTAAACATCACTAAAACAATGCAGTGGTTTTAATTAAACATTCAGGATTAGGAAATCCTCAGGGCTGTAGTCTGTTCTAGTGTAGTGAGCGATAAATAAATTGTTAATTAACTTAGCAAGTAGCCAGGTGATCATGTACACGCTGCTGCCAACAGGCTCATCACACTAACTCAATTTTATTTAATTCTCATCGTAATGAAAGCAACAAATCGCATCATAATGAACGTAAACACATCATAATGGACCTAAATGCATCATAATGATGCAAACGCATCATAATATGAGCAAATATATCCTAATAAACATAAATGCATCAAAATGAATATAAACTAATCAAAATCAAAGCAAATGCATCATAATGACAGTAAATGCATCTTAATGAACGTAAACGCATCATATTAAGCTGGTCGCAAACATACACGTGGTTAAAAGCTCTTAATTGTTTGTATTGTTGCAAAAGCAGAACATAGATAAAACTTGCTTACCCCTGACTAATTTAGCTGTGACATCACCAAAAATCTGTCAATGCTATTGATTTACTAATGCCAAATTCACACTACATAATTTTTAGCTCTGATTTTTACCATACAAGGAAGATTGAAAGTAAATAATATACCTAAATAAATGTGTCCTTACCGCACAAGTCCGATGGGCTGGTACTTGTAAAAGACACTGTAGTTCGCCCACTCTTCATACAAAAGCTGAGGAAGACAATCAAACATATTTTGTTGTATTATTTGTACAGTTTTATCATGCCTTAAGACTTTCTACTGCCATATTTGTCTTTGGGCAGACTTCCTTTTCCTGTTAGTTGGGTTAGCCCCTGGGTAAATGGTTCATGTGACAAACACAAATGTCTCCCAGTCATTTAGATCCATCATTTGACATCATTTAAGTCTATACATTTGTTCTAAGTTTAATCTGTACTGTTGGTTGATTTAATGTAATTATAAATATGCTGTAGATAGTTCATTGGTTTAGGGACTATGTTCATTAGTGGATTTATATACATTTGGTACTTGAGTATTCTCAGAAGCAGGACAAGCTTTGGATAAACACAATACTTTTAGCTAGAAGCTAAAGCTACAGATCACAGTGTAAAAGTGAACCAACACCTGGTGATCGAAACAGAACATGATGAAATAAAGGAACAACACTGTTCCTGTAAAGCAGAGTAGGTCTTTATTCACTGTTACAACGTGAAACATTTAACGTTTAACCATGACTATCTCCAAATCCACTAAACCAGCCTGAACATGAAGAACATCTGAAACCATTACATGAGAGTCTATGGAGCAGAGCCGGATAGTTGGCGAACACTGGATGCTCCACTATGATTGGCCAGTCTGCGTTTGAGGGGCGGGACCTAGCAAAGGGCCAATTAGCATGTTCAAGCAGACCAGAGTTGTGACAGATTATTTTGTGGTTCTAGTGTGTGTGTCAGTTTGTACAGTGGTGGAAAGTAACTAAGTACATTTACTGAAGTACTATACTTAAGTACAATTTTTAAATACTTGTACTTTGCTTGAGATTTACTATTTTACTGTGGGCTACTACGCTACATCCATTTTTCAGCTTTAGTTACTAGTTGCTTTTAAGGTGAAGATTTTACACAATGGATAATATAGCATGCTTTTAAAACCAGTGGTTTCCAACCTTTTTGACTTCTGATGTCTTACAAAAAGCAGAACAGTTCAAATGTCTGAGTTTTCAATTGCTCCACCAAAAAGTGATTTCTGAACTTCTTCATGTGGTTTCACTTCTAATAAATATTCAAATAACCCAACATCTCACTTAAAAATCTAAGATTAGAGGAAAACGTCCAAAAACAAAGCAGATTTGTCTATCAGAAGTAATATTTTTCATGCAGGACTTGTACTTATAATTGAGTATTTTTACATTGCTGTTTAGGTACTTTTACTTAAAGCTCTAGTGCTTAGGATTTGGCGCCATCTAGCGACGAGGTTGCAGATTGCAACCAACTGAAACTTCTCCCTTGTGCCAAATATGTTGGAGAACTACAGTAGCCAACGAGAAAGCACAAAAACGCAAACTGCCCTATTTAAAGCCAGTGTTTATTTTGTCAATTCTGGGCCACTATAGAATTATGGCGGCTGGCTCTGTGAAGAGGACCCGCTCCATATGTGACTGATTCTAAGGGAAAAAACACATCAACTCCTTTTTATCAGGTGATTATAGACAAATGAAAACATACTTAGTAATATGATATTCCATTTCTGTCAATATATATCCCTCAATACTACACACTCATTTCAATAAAGAATCTGATATAATTTTCTCACCTTTCTGTCATTGGGGACTGCGCTCTCCTCATTAATATCTCCCTGAAAAACGAAAGAGAAACACGACAGCTAGTTACCACGCACGCTGACTGTAAACAGAGTTTAATCATCTGAGATGGACTAGTTTGAAGAGGAGGAGAAACTACAGTGGTTTTCTAGTGCTGGCATTGTTTCACCTCATCTTCTAGTGATTACAATTATGTAACTGATAACAACGGCTTCAAAATACAAACATATAAACGTGATTTACTAGTACCACTGATAATATTAAACTATTAGCACGAGGATTAGTAGTACTCACATCATGAAGAGGATAAGCAGCTGTATAGACACCATTACCCAGGAGAGTGGTGATCCCTGCCGAGAAAAAACAAACACAGGAGTTAATGTGGGTTCTACATATTTATACCCAAGCTCAGTAAATGTTACCACAGCTGGGTCATTGAGGCTTGCACAACTCTGAATTATATTACTTATAAGCAATGTTGGACAACCTACCAGAAAAGTGTGGTAAGCTAAGCTACCATTTATTCTACATTGAATGAAGCTTCACCACACTGAAGATACCCCCAGACAAATTTAGAAAGCTAAGCTACAGCAACATGGAACAACTAGTAACCACATCAAATATATATATATATATTTTTGAACCAACTTTAATCAAGTAAATGCTATTAGAGCTCGACATTAAGACTTGCTCGCTTTCCGGGGCAAGTAAACTCAGGGAAGTGGAATTCTTCATGCAGTTGTTGATCAGGCAAGTAAAAAAATAGGTGTTATCTTTATTAGGGGCCAATATTCAGGAAAAATATGGCATCGGTAGATTGTCATTAATGCTTTTTAATCGACGATCCCTGTTAATGCTACATTGAGAATAACAAATCCGTTGAAATCCGCAGGAGGAAATATTGCCACAGTAGCGGGTTGGCAACACAGTCTTGCTTGGCTACACAACAAAGCTAACAGCATAGCAACATTTGTAACACCTAACTTAATCAGAAACGTAGGCCTATTAAATTGTACTTCATTTGCATGCATGCAGTATATGCAGTAATCACAGTGACCAGCTCTTCTGCTGACAGCCCAGTGTCCCTCCCAAGCACAGTCCTGCTTATAACAGAGCCAACAGCTCACATCAACGGAGATTTAATTTTAGTCAATTATGGTGCGTTCAAGCGAGTATTGGGCGAAGATAAATTACAACGCTATCATGATGTGTTCAAATGTAAAATTATAGATTTCAGATTTTTATGAGAAACTTGAATGAATTCAGTTGTAAAAAGGAGATGTTTTCACAGTAACACAGGCTGGCTACTGGAGTGACATGGTTGGTATACAAAAGGCAGGGCAAAGATGGGTGGTGTGGGACCGATTGTGGTTAGCCAGTCTGGGTCAAAATGCCAGGGATGATTTTTTGTCCGATTCCAGTCCTGCTCTATAGAAGGAGGCCTGTGAGAGAGACCAAGATCCAGACTCACCCATGCTGTACTTGGCCTTGCATTTTGTTCTTTTTAATATTTCAAACACCTGAAAGGAAATGATAAACAGAAGAACTGAACTTTATTCACCATGCTGCTGAAGAAAATCTGCACGTTAAAGCGTCAAAAAAACATTGACTTTGAGACGAGGGAACTGGAAGTACAAAAATACCGACTCATATCCGTGTTTTAGGTATCATTCATGCACCACTCTTTTGACTCCTGGTTTTACACAGGACACAAACAGTGATCCCCAGGGTGAACGTCCTGTGTTGACCTACCCATCCAACCCCCGCCATCTCCCTACAAAGATTTGTGTGCACTATGATTAGAAAGATATTTGTGATATGTCAAAAACAAACGCAATCTGAAACGTAATTGACAATGTAGTTTCCTTGTATGAGAACGTCATTTTTAGGAGACCAGGTTGGGTTGAAAAGAACATGTTGTTTTACGAAACCTCTTGGTCGTTGCTAGCATTTCTCTGGTCTTTCTAACAAACAACTGGAAAGTTTCACTTAATGATATACAATCTGTCAGAAAAATGTGTTGGCTAAAAACCACAGTCATGTATAAAAGGATATTTTGATGTTGATAGACACATCACAGACAAACTTCCGTGGACTTACTATTGAACTCCTCGTTTTGCTGTCGAAGAAGAAATCTTTGTCTGAGAGGTCAAACCTGTTTGTTAAAAACACACACAAAAGCACACACACTTGTTACTGTATGCTAAAGTTTGGACATCTTACTGTAGTGTGTACCACAGTAATAGTGCCGTGACACTTTTGAAAATAACTTATGATGCTCTTTACTGTTGTGTGACCTGTACAACTACGTTAGGCTACAAGGATCCATCAAAGTGTAAGAGATGCACTTACAGGTGCTGTTTCTCTCTGGAGAAAGTGTGTGACAGGTGTTTGATGTTCTTGGGTTGATGTTCCTCAACTTGAGGGTGGAGAGGTTCCACGACTTTACTGACCAGGGAGCTGATCTTCTCCACCACACCGCACAACTGCTTGACTTCATACACCTAGAAATAACCCACAGAACACACACACAATCACACACATTTCAATCAAGGTTACCCTCTGTGTGATGTACTGTAAAAACACAAAAGACAATGGTAGAATAGTTAATAGACTTTTATAATTAGGGGTGCAACAGATTGTTTCCGTTTAGAGCTAGTGTTAGGACGTTAAACTGCTCATAATTCAATCTCTTTTATGTTGCTGTGAAAAACATCTCCTTCAAACAACTGGATTTATTCAATATTCTCACCAAAACTAAATTTAACCAGATTATATTTCAACACATTTTGATATTATAATTAACCTTCACCCAATACTCATTAATGGAACAGAGCCTGAACGCATCATAATGTAATTGAACAGAACCTCCGTACATTAGCCGTGCTGCTAACATTACTAGCTCTTTTCCTGTCAATTTCAACACAGATTTGTTGTTCACAATGTAGCATCATCGGGGATTGGCGAAAAGACTTGATCAGGTAACTTTACTGAATATCGGCTGATAACGACCGGCAGTTAAACTTTATTTCACACTATGATGGTTAAAGTGTGCAATTGCTTGCCGAACTGCGAGAGGGGATCTGTACGGATCAACAACGGTTTGTTACACAACTATTCACAATGCATTTTAAGCAAAGAGCAATCATGATATACCATGAAACATTTCCATTCATTATTTAACTGTATGCTCATAGTTGTAGAGGTGAGGTAGAGAGCAACTTAATTAATATGGTTGCGCCAAAGTAAAATGTGTATTCAGTTGGATCCTATACTGTAGGGATCACTAATAGGCAGACCACGGTCCTGATCCGGACCCTGGACCTACAACCGATAGATAATTGAGAATTATAAAATTTTGACGGAGGGCTTCTATTTTAACCGGCGCAGCTTTTTACGGCACTCGTTCAGTGGTCTAGGAAACACACCGACCAATTACATGCGTTGTAAATCACATCACGTGATGATACTCAGCCAATCAAATATGTGTATTCAGATAAGCTTCCCGACTCGAGTGAGATTTTCACACACGGGTAAGACGTGGCGAGAGACCAAGTAGTCGGAGAATAATATGTGTGTCAGTTATTTCACTTGGTGTTCTCTCTCTAAAAGAGAAATGTGGTCAGAGAGACCAGAGTCTTTAACCAAGAATGGACAAACTCTTTAGGTTAATTCTTCCCACGGACAGTTTAAAACCAGTATGTCTCATATGTTCAGAGACTGTGACGATTATTAAAAATGGTAATGTGAAGCGCCACTACGAGACAAAGCACAAATATTTTGAGCAAACACACATATCCGAAATGAAGGCACAGAACAATCTAAGAGCCCAATATGATCAGAATCCTAACACATTAATTCACTGTCCAACAATAACCAGGGGTTTCAATAATCACATATAAAGTCACTGCACACAGATTTCTCTTATTAGACGAGAAGAATATTATATGGTGGCTTTTTTAAATTGACATCACTTCACACCTCAATTAACTGAATTAATGAGTTAAGTACTTTATTTTAAGATGCACATTTTTCATAAGCTTTCTGTTACGTCATTTTTTAAACACTAGCCCTATTTTTAGGCCTCTGCTCGAAAATGGCATACACATACTAAAGAGACTTTAATTCTGTAACTACAAGGTCTATTTTTATACTTTTTGATTCTATAATTCAGATAACACTTGTGAGATTGTTCAGATGGGTAAATATTGTGTATATGTTGCTGGTTATTATAGTACATGAAGATATTACACAGCTCAAATTGAAAATATTCAGGTTCGCCTGAAAAAAAAGCACTTTTATTGATATTATGTTTTTGAAATAATGCAGCTGAGACCCTAAAAACTCTCCCAAATCATAGCACAACCGATCAGTAGTCCTAGAATAAAGTTTGGCTGGGATAAAGTGAAGAATAAGAAAGTTATAGAGGCTTTTATTACAGAGAGGTCACGCGAGGTCGTCAGAAACAGACAGGATGTACTTGCCAACAATGTTTCTAGCTTTGAACCGGATAATTATCGCCGTTCTTTTCGTGATTCTTCATAAAGGTAAGCAGATGGCGATGATTATTTCCGGTGAAGTTATCTTTTGTGCTGCCGTTGCTGGCTCACAGCTTTGTACTGGTTTCACGGGGAGAAAAACCGAAGGTATTTATGGGTTCTGAGTCGAATTCTAATGCTCGGCGATGTATTGATTAGCCATTAGCTTGTTGTTTGAATATCGAAGCGCAGTAAATAAAACACCGATTCGTGGCCAGAAATACGTGGTATTATGGTACATTTTCTAGTTGCTTATATTAGTAGTGTATAGTGTATGTGTTTGGAGTGTGTAAAAAGTGACTTATATGATAGTGTTGCCCATATGTTGTTCTTTAATCCGGTATATAAAATGTACACATGCACAATATTTGCTGTCAATATGAGCATTTTTTGGACAATATTTGCTACCCCCCTAAGCCGGAGAGCCCCCAAATTTGGGGGCATCGTGTGCAAGAGCATCCCTTATTTTACTTGAAACGAGAGAACATGCATTTACCATTAGATTATGTATTATTTATAATTCATCTACTCAAATTAAAAAATTGACGATAAATATTGTTGAGATAATATTCAATTGAACTTTCTTTATTTGATTTGATAGTCAGTTGTTGACTAAATACAGACGTTAATAAACTCATGTTAAACGTTAAAAGTTATTCTACTAGGCCCAGAACACCTTCGAAATCAATTATCTAATGATATATTTTCTCTAGATGGCATTGCTCTGGCATCCAGCACCATGTAAATAATCTCAGTTATCTTCGATCAGGATTTGTCCTTTAACTCCCAGATAAAACAAATTTCAAGGACTGCCTTTTTTCACCTCTGTAACATTTCCAAAATCAGGCACATCCTGTCTCAAAGCGATGCAGAACAATTAGTTCATGCATTTGTTACCTCTAGACTAGATTACTGCAATTCCTTATTATGAGGCTGCTCTAATAAGTCTTAAATATCTCCAGTTGAAAACAACAAGTTATTAGGTCAAACTGTCAATCAGAGACCTTCTTCACGCGTCAACAGGAAAACATGTTAAACACAAATATACAGACAATCACTTGACGAGTGCTGGTGCAAAGCACTTGTGCTACTGGACAATGTCACCACAGCAAAGGTCTTTAGGAACTGAGATCTCAAGCTCTAGATAGACTTAAAGTCGACACAATGCATTCAAAATGGAAGTATTAAAAGAGACAATCAAAAACATTAAATGACACAACCAGCATCAATAGATACATCAGCTGTCCACCATCATAAAAGAACATTCAGCTTATTGGTGTCCTTTAGCAGTGATAAAACAATTGAGTGTCACTTAAGGAGGGTTCATTTTGATCTTGGAACCCAAATTCCAGCTCCTGAATACATATTTAACTGTCATAATATCAACAGACCATTAGCCGACTACCAATAAAGACAAAACATTTATTAAAAACCAAAATCTTTAGAACTTCAACAAATCATCTGACATGTCATTTCAGCGCCCATGTTATCAGGTTAGAGCAGCCACACAGCCGGCATGAGCAGCAGGGTTTGTCAGCGTCCGCTTTCTTCAAAGGTGTAGATTCTTTTAAGCGTAACGTGATTCCCAGTTTGGCTGTGGCCAAGAGGTGATAAAAACTTTGAAAGATAAACAAAAAAAAGCAGGACTTTGATAACCTGACACGCCAGATAGTTTGTTACATATAACCATCTGAGAAGTCATCATTGGAAACGGTTTGATACTTGGCAGGTGATTAGATGAACTATCTGTCAATCAAACTACGAAGCCAGTTGGGAAAAAAGGAAAAACATGTTATCCATCATGTGTGTGGTTAGATTAAGGCAACAAAGGCACTTTGGTGGCAGGTCGATAAAGGGCACACATTCAGCGCCCCACCAGCCATGAAAGTTTATCAAGAGTCTGCAACCTAATGAATTTTTATCAAATATTTGAAATGAGTAATGAGTTAGTAAATTATGCTATTCAGTATGAAATTAGCCGCAAAAGTAAATGTATTTTGTAGATGTTCCAGCCATACAATATACCAGTGGCAGGCCGTGCATTTTATACCTAGGCCTTCACTGTTGTCCTGCAGCTGAAATACCACATGATGGCGCCACCGTTATTATTAGTTTCTAAGGCTGTAACTATGTACGTATTAAATGTACGTACCTATGTACGTACCGTTTGGTACGAGACTTGCAATATGTTTGAATAGTACTAGAGCATTTGGAAAACGCAGCTTATATTCAGGAAAATATAATGTTTTCTGCGCTCATGGAGGACAGTGGTTCTCAGCTGGTCTGGCTGTGGGGCCCACCATCACTCCTTAATGACAAGTCGCGGCCCAAAGAGATCATCTTATGATTTTACTTTCACAACTTGAACATTGTACGTACTGCTCTGCAATGTCTTTCCTCGTCTCAGTCCCCTGTGTCATGGTGTGTGGTACATCTCACTCAGTCAGAATGCCCATATTTGATTGGCTGAGCTGCATCATGTGATGTGATTCACTACCCGACTAAGCCTCTGCTGTTAAGTTTCGTTTCACGATAGTCACGTGCTCGCCAACTGACCAATCACAGCACACTCTGCGCCTCGCGGCAGAGCTGCACATGAACACTGAGCGGCATGTAATGCCGACGTCATTATAGGCCGGCTAGCAGGTGCTGACACGTCAAAGAATATGCCCAACATGTCAAACTAAAGATCTGATTGGTTGAACACTATGACAATCAACAATATCGTCCCCATTCACTTAAACTGCACTGGATGCACTTGAGAGTCTGCAGGCCTCTGTTCTTACCTGGAGACACAGAGGTGAAATCTGATTGGATAAAAGCTCTACTTAAAACAAGCTGCACTGGAAGCAGAGCAACTGAGGAAGACAGTAGCTGTGCAATGAGAAAATAAGATAATGGGAAAATAATTTTTATAAATTATAATACATGTAGTGTATTTAAGAAAAAATATTAAATTATAAAATAGATATAGCTTTGTGATTCTGTTTAGGCCAGCAGAGAAGGCCTTGCAGGCCCTGACGGCCCACCACTGCAATACACACTAATTCAACACTGGCTTTCTACTGATTTTGCCTCCATCTAATACGAGTAAATTGGTATAAAAAGATCAGACCAATACAACAATGGAAGTCATGAGGAACTAGTCGAGTAGCCTATAAAGACCCCACACAAGAGAGGCTATCCCTCTTTGTATTTCAACAGCTTTTCATTCAAGAAGCAGACACTTTTATCCACTCTATTAAGAAATAAAGAGTTAACTTTGTTCTAATATTTGTCTATTTGCAATATTAGGACCTCTTAATGCAGAACTAAATCTGCAGTAGTAGATAGTAGTAGTAATAAAGTAGTCCATAAAACCATTTTTTGCTTGAACTTAAAGAAAATCAAAACACATTCAAAATAGTATTTGAATGGATTGAAATGAAATAAATATATTCAATTCTAGGTTAAGATTCAATAGAATGTAAACAAATCTCAAACCTAACAAAGCCTCAAAAGAATTAGCTGAAATCCGCATTTGAAGAGGAATTAATTAGTACAACTCATCCTGATTCTTTGTTAGGTACTGAGTTTATCCAATGTTTTAGGACTTGTTAGGTACTGAGTTTATCCAATGTTCTAGGACAAGTTAGGTACATTTGTTAGGTACTATGTACTGTATATCTGATGTTTTAGGACTTGTTATGTACCTTTGTGGGGTACTGAGTTTATCCGATGTTTTAGGACATGTTAGGTACCTTTGTTGGGTACTGAGTTTATCCAATGTTCTAGGACCTGCATCTTGCAGGGGCAATTACTTCAAACGTCTAACATTGTTGGTGCTCCTTATTGTCTGACAAATATCAAGGACGTTCACCTTTATATTCATGTTTTTACAGGTCTATGTTTGGCTCGGTTTGATTTTGTGAGGCCTGAATCAACATCCCTCACTTCACAGCTAAGTCTGAAAAGGATCTTGAGAATGCATGTTGAAAACTATCCATATGGGTAAAAACACAAGATTTGCACAATTATGTGAGGACCCACCCTAAAGAGCCTACAACCTTCCTAGACACATAATAATAATAAATATTTTTATAGAACCTTTCAAGCAAAGTGCCTTCCAGATTAAAAGATTTACAGAATTAAAATTGCTCTTACATTGCTCTAAAGCAGCGGTTCCCAAACTTTTTAGGCCACGCACCCACTTCTACATCCCGACCGGGTTCACGCACCCCCAATCCCCCACACCTTAAAAAAAAAAAAAAGGCAACACAGCCTATTTATAGCCGCATAAAAACCGGACCAATGAGAGAACAGTTTGCTCGCGTGTGGCGTTTGTTTACAAGATAAAAAACACAAAAAAGACACAAAAAAAAACTTCCTGCACCGTGCCTTCGAAAAGGTAACGGACGTACACCAGAAGATTGGCCAGATTAGCCACATCTGTAGGCTCGTCTACTTGCAGAGAGTAAAACTCACTCTTCTTCACGTGACCGACTAATGTAGCCAGGATGTCTTGGGACAAAGCATCGATGCGGCGCGACAGTGTTGTTGGACACCGGGATCATGTCCAACTTTTTTGCTTCTCTCTCTCCAATCATACATTCCACCATCTCTTTGGCAGCTGGCAAGCACACGTCTTCGGCGATTGTGTGAGGTAGTCCCTTTTCTTGCTATTCTGTAACTGACCAGATATGAAGCCCGTAGTGCGTTTTTTGTAGACCCAACACATGAATGAGACTGCAGTTGTTTTTGGCTGTTTTGTAACTCCTCCAATTTCGATATAAAAAAATGTAAGGGGCTTTTGACTTGCACTGGCATGCTTGGTGTTCAGGTGGCGACGTAAATAAGAGGGCTTCAGACAGATGTTAGCCAGAACCTCACTGCACACCACGCACTGTGGATTTGGGCAATCTGCATTGCCAATCCAAGTGAAGCCCAGACCCAGGTCATTTTCATCATGTTTCCTCTTTTTTTTCCCAGTCTGTTGCCCACTCTCGTTTCCTCTTTTTTCACCTTGACTCCGCGATGGGCCTATGTGCTCCCGATTTGTCTGTGCTATCCCTTCCTCCTTTTCGGTCTCCTCCGTCTCATCTTTCTCTGACTCCTGTTCGATTTCTTCTCCCGGTCCCTCCCCAACGCACCTCTCCGTTTCTCTCGCCTCCGATTCCTCTCTCTCTCTGTCCCTCTCCTCTTTCATGACCGATAGCTTCAGATGTCCCACCTGACAGTTTCCCCGATTTCAGCCAGTTTAGCATATTTGCATGAATGTTGCTGAATGAATGAAGTTAGCTGTTAGCTGACGTTAGCTGCACAAGCTAGGCTGGCTAGTGTGTACGTAAAAGACAGTCTGGCGGCAGGAGCTGAAGTGCATTTATTTATTAAATTGTAAGTTTTTAATTTTAAATTTAAATCTTACAAAGGGAATTTTTATAATTCATGTTTTTATTTTGTGAAAAATCCCACTTACATTTTTTTAAATTATATTTAATATTAATTATTACACCATTCAACCGTTCTGTCTCCTAAAAATTACGTTCCCCCAAAACTAAAATACATTCTCAATTACGTTTGACTAAAAACGTATTTTCTCCCTGATTACGTTTGTGTTTGACTTATTACATTGACTTATTACAAATAAGTTTCTAATCAACATTTTAACACTTTAACCTTTTTTTTCCCTCTCCACCACCGCCTCTCATTCTCCCTATTACGCGGTCAGAATACTACCACAACACGCCGCCTGTCTCCAGCAGAAATGCGCTCATCCACGCACGGGAACAACACCGAGTTGTCGGCCGAGATACCACCAAAACACCCCGCCTGTCTCCAGCAGAAACGCGCTCATCCAGGCCGAGCAATGAGGAACATTACGTGGCTACATTACCTCCACAAAGGCCCGCGTGTAAAATCCGGGAGTAACCGTGACTCTCTTAAGGGTTAGGTTTGGGTGGGGACGTGGCTTCCTAGTGGAAGTTATGGTTAGGGCAGGGTTAATTAGATGGATACAAATAAATAAAATATACCTCCATAACACCCCGCCACTCTCGGCTCATACCTCCCCAGCAACGAGGCACATCACCCGGCCACAATACCTCCAGAATGTCCCCCGGGTGAAATCCGGGACTTGGTTTTATGGTTCCGAGTGGCGGGCGCTCACCCGTTGGCGCCGGACGCGAGGTCTCCAGCCGCCCCCGCCGTGAGGCACCCCATCGTCAGGTCTGTCAGCCCTCGGAACAGGCCGCGGGGCAACAACTCGTGGGTGGCGGGGGTAGAGGCGAGGCAGATCACAGAAAAATAATAAAGACTATGTGTGGCAAAGATATGTTGATTAGAAACGTATTTGTAATACGTGAAACACAAATGTAATCAGGGAGAAAATACGTTTATGGTCAAACGTAATTGAGAATGCATTTTAGTTTTGGGGGAACGTAATTTTTAGGAGACAGGACTGCACCATTAGACCACCATTACATTTTTCCTCTTGCGCACCCCCTAGAGGCAGCTCGCGCACCCCAGGGGTGCGCGCACCACACTTTGGGAATCCCTGCTCTAAAGTATGGATTCAAGATAACTCTTTAACATCTAAGATTATTTCCCAATAATGTCTCTAGAAGGTTCAACAACTCAGAACCTAAGAGAAGAGATGGGGTGTGAACTGTCATTGACTGTTATTTAAGTATTTCAGTATTTAGTTATGTCATATAGAGTATTTATGCGCATCAGAGACAAGCTGCAATTAATGTTAGTAGAAAGAAAACTACTGACAGATTAACAGATCGTTCAGTCCATGGACTTCTTATAATACCACTAGTTGGTCTTCCTGTGGACAAAATAGTTTCTAGCATCTGGTCGGACGCTGATACTTTGGGCCTGAGAACAGGAACCCTTTCAAGTATTTTCTTTAAATAAATGATAAATGAAGGTATCCACCACACTGTGCCGGTTATGCGTAAAATGCACAGGTTTGTAGAGGTTTCAATTGTCCATAATCCATTCAAAACAGAGGTTCTTCTGTTTTTTAAAAATGTTTTGCTACCTTTAATTTAGGTGTGACGTTTTATTATACATTTCCTTTGGCTGTTGTGAGCCTTTGGCCCCGAGCTTCTGCTTACACTGCCCAGCAACAGCTCTGAGCCCATTTGATTACGGATCAGGTTTCATTCAGCAGCCTCCCTCTTAATTTCTGTTGAGCATTAAAGTAAAAAGTATGAACACTTTACTGCCCTTAACAATCGCGTACACATTTGTGAAGCAGGTCTCTCCTTTATGTCAGTCACACAAACTACATTTCAGAGGTAGGAATCACCCTCCCATAGCGTTTTTTTCAACCAACCCAGAGACTAGTTTCACTCTCAATTCTTCAAATGTGGCCCTAAGCTTCAAACTATAATTCTCTACGTAACCCTTGAGCGTTGGTTTTGGACATGTCAGGGAAGATGTGTCAGTTTACACCTGTTACATGAATAGTGTCTTTTGAAAATAAATGTCCATGATCACAGGAAACACACTTCTGCTTGTTACATGCATAGTGCCTTTTCACAATACAGTTCTGTGTTCTCAGGAAACGCACAGTTTCAGCTCGATACATGCATGCAGTCTCTTTTCAAAATAAAATTCCAACATGGGTTCACTTACTAACTGGGAAAACAACGATTTACTGTAAAACTGTATAGTCATTGCAATCAGCTCACTTGTTTTCTTTACATTGCACACATACATACAGACAGTAGCAAAGTTGGGTTACTTGAATAGTTTTAAAAGAAAAGCGTCTTCTTTATTCTTTACCCAGACAGAAAATGGAACGAGACACTGAGTCTTACCTTCTTGGTGGGCATCTTCAGCTTCATTAACTCGGCCTCTCGACAGAGAATGTTCCACGGAGCATGAATCTTCACAAAGGCCACCCCTGAAATCTTGGTCTAAGAGACAGACAGCAAACAAATACCACTCAGTTGTAAACAACTTGCATATGTGTTGATGTCATCAGGAATGCAAAATAGAAACTTTTCAAAATGAATAGAACGTTGCATGTCAAAAATCTGAAAAATGACATACGAGGTGGGACAAGCAAAACAACCCACTGAGCAATGTGGACCATTACTGGAGAAAGTTCTACAGTCCACCTTTCTGTTGGACCATATGTCACTGTCTTCACTGCCACATCATTTGCAATGTTTCTCTCAAGGGCGACAGCAGAAATTCATGCTTGGGGAGCCTGAAATTCAACGGTGGAACACAAGAGCTCTCGGGCTGGAGGGTGATCATCACTCAACAGTCTTAATTCTATTCTGTCACATGTTGTAAATTCTCATGCCATGTTGCAAAATGTGAAAAAGCAGTGTTTGAACCGAAATGAATTTCATGAATAAAACACGAAAGTCGGGGAAAAAACTGCAAAAAAGTAAAACGGAAAGGAGGTCATGACACATGGTATTAATGATTATAATGATGCCTGATAATCAGCATGAACATAATAACTGACCAGTTTGATGTGTCTAGGGGTGTGTGTGGTTATGCTCTGACGTGGCATGTTTTTTGCAAGGGAGGCCAATGTGAAAGTGTCTTAAACCTGCATTCTATCTAATGGCCATCAGGGGGCGACTCCTCTGGTTGAAAAATAAGTCTGATTGTCTATTAAAAAATGACTCTTCTACTCACTTGATTTATTATCTCAGTTAACATTGTAAACACGAGTTTAGTCTTCCTTAATACAGCATGATGCTCATTTAGTAAATTATGGTCCATTTAGAGTCAAATAGACCATAAAGCAGAGTATGATTTGGGATGGGCTTACTGTGATTGACAGGTTGCTGCCGCTACCAGAATCGTATACAGCGTCTCTACGTCACTCCTGCGCAGTTCAAATATGGTAACTTCCGTTTACTTGTTGCAAAAAACCAAGGTGGCAATGGCCAAAACGCCAAACTCGAGGCTTCAAAACTTTAGTCCACGAACCAATGGGTGACATCACGGCAACTACATCCACTTACAGTCTATGGTTTTTTGGATATGTTAATTTAGATTAACTGTGATTGTAGGTTCTAGTGGGCTATAATATTAGGGAAGCATTTCAGAGATTTAGAGAAAGTGTTTCTGGCTGTGTGTTTTAATAAAAATATTGATATTTGGCACCATCGTATCGATAAATTATTACAAGATGAATTAATACAATATATTAACATATCTATATTTTGTCCCACCCCTAGCATTCAGCCTCTCTCCAGCATTACACTGGGATCAGCCTTGTTTGCGCTACCGCCTATGGCCACCAAATTATCAAAACTGACTTGGTCACACACGTGTGTTTGATTACAGTGTGAGTTTGTGTTTGGCTCACGCCCAGTTTCAGGAAAATAGGAATCAAGGCATTCTAGGAACAGGCCACCTCAGGTCAACCCTTTCAAGTCCCTGCTGTGGAGAGCCATATTTTCTATTTATATGCTGGCATCAGGACATCTTATACATAGGCAGAATATCACTTTACAATTTTACACGCCTACACAAATATATCTAAGCTGCAACCCTGCAAATACTTTCACAAAAATTGTCTCCCTCCTAATCTGTTGAAGACATTTTGAAGTGGATGTCTCCTAACTTCTTGAAGTTAAATTTAAACAAAGCCGTGTTGTTACTAAAAAAGGCTACTTGTGAAAACTACTTCACAAGTGGTGAAGTACCAGCGTTTCCTCTGGCACTGCTTTGTAGACATTCTTCAATCAATCATCTGATCAACTTCCTCTATACACACATTTGTCACTGCGAAGCCAAATTCCCCTTAAATAAAAAATATACTACTACTACGAATTGATTGTTTACCTTGATCGACAGAGAGGGGGCAAACATAAGACAAGGGGATGGAAGAGGACAGGAGACCTCAGTTAGAGACAGATGAGGAGAAAGAAGAGAGGCAAGGAGAGGAGGGGAGCAGGATAGGTTTGAGTTTTCAAAGTCCCTTTATTGAACCTTTGCAGGTACATACCAGATCACTGTCACATCCTGAAGGCCTGTATATTGTCCATCACCTGTTCCTCTGCCCCGATGAGACAAGCTTCCTAAAAACATCCAAACACAGGAAGTCTGGAGGAAACCCACATTTGTCTGAAATAGCAAGGTCCAAGACTCTGTAGCTACTATGCTTCAAATGATTTTCACGCTTTAAAACTGCATCTTTTTGCCAGTACCATATTCGTTTAAAGGGTCTTGCAAAAGGACTTGGTAACACTTTATAATAACTACGCGCTATGAAGCATTAGTTAAGTATGAGTAAACACTTAATTCATAAAGTTTATATATTCATTTATAAAGCATTGTTCCTACATTAACACTCATTAGTATACAATTCATAACATTTATATCTATAATGATTTAGACATGCACTAATGGTTATTAATTCAGGTACTTACTAGTCGTTAGTTAAGTGTTTTGTGTGACCTCATCTAAAGTGAGGACCAGTAGCGGGCCATGCATTTTACACCTGGGCCTTCTGTGCTGTCCTACTGAGCTACGGTTATTTGTTTCTATTGGTGTAATAATACACGCATTTGTATTAAACCGTTTGGCACAAGGCTTACGAACCGAACAATTCGTTTGAATAATACTAGTGCATTTGGAAAATGCAGAAGCTTAAATTGTGTTTTCGGTGGACTGCGCTCACGTAACACAACAGGATGTGTGACCTTTTGAACCCGTAACAATAACAAAAAACAGCTGAGGCCGCGCGTGTCTTCAGGGAGGCTAAGCTAGCGGGGAAACAGCAGCAGTTGGCTGTTCCCTACTGATTCAAACAGAGAATCAAATGTCCGAAATAACCCCGCGATGACGGGATGCTTCGTCATTAACGGACAAGTCAGAATCAATGTAATTAACACAATGACAAGAACCAGTCACATATATTTATATGACAACATAAAATGTAAAGCATGACAAATCAATTCAGCCAACACTGCAGTGCTAGAGCACGAGTCATTCATATTATTCATAAAAACGACACGACAGACAAATTAACAGTAGTAACGTAACTGCAGATGTAAAAAAGACAAACGCAGTTTGTCACTTACCGAATACTGTTCACTTAAAGACAAAATCCATCCTCCTTTCTTTGTTGACAAAGAGTTTAATACCACGGCTGTTCAGTACATCGTTTCAGTTCCAGTAAGAAGTCCTTCTTGATTCAGATGCCAGTGAGTCGAGCCTCCCCAGTTGCGGACCGGCCACGGGTGGACCGCGGTTGTGGAGCTCCGTTTCCCTGCTAACGTGTTCGTTGATCTGTAGATCCACTCGGGTTTCTCCAAAAGTTTTCAAAAGCACCGTAGTGTCCTGCCGTCCTCAGGTCCAAACACCAAGATGCTCAGTTAAAATTAAACACATTCCCAGCCATAAAATGTGCGATGCTGTCAGCCAGGAACACCGTTCATACAAATCCTTTTCCTGGCTGAGTCAGCCATTGAGTGTTAAAAAAACAAAGCTAGGTAAAAAAATAAATAAACTACACCAAGCAAAACCCTAAAAATGTTATAATTTCTTCCATATCTTTCAATTTGAACTCTTACTACTCCAACTAACTTCTGCCAGCTTCCTTAAATTTCACATTAGTCACGCGCTCGCCCACTGACCAATCAAGGCGCACATTAATGCAGACGGACTTAGGAGGCTTCCTCGGTGCCACTGGAACGTCAAAGAATACGCCCAACATGTCAAACTAAAGATCTGATTGGTTGAAGACTATGACAATAAACAATATCGTCCCCATTCACTTAAACTGCAAAGGCTCTCTAGCGGGCATCGGGCCTCTCTCCTTACATAGAGAAATAGGGGCTGAATCTGATTGGATAAAAGCTCTCCTTAAAACAAGCTGTGCTGGAAGCAGCGCTGCAGGCTGGAAGCAGAGCAACAGAGGAAGACAGGAGCTGTGCAATGATAAAATAAGCTAATGGGAAAAAAAATAACACATGTAGTGTATATGTGAAAAATTATTAAATGATAAAATAGCTATAACTTTGTGATTCTGTTTAGGCCAGCAGAGAAAGCTTAGCTGGCCCTGACGGCCCACCACTGGTGAGGACTATATATGCGTTACAATATCTCATGTCGGGCAAATTTCCTCCGCTTTACGTTGCAGCTGGTAAAGGTGGAGCTCATTTCAACTACATTATACTACATAATAATTAGGGCTCGGCAAGTTAACGCGTTATCGCATTCATTAATTAGCGCCGACAATTATTTTTATCGCGCATTAACGCAGTTTTTCTTTTTATTATTAAAAAAACACAAGAAACGGGCAGCGAGCAGTGAACAGCTGTTTGTGTGGCGTCTCTTCCTTTTGCTGCCACTCTCCCCCCCACAGGGTGACATGCCCGGTCCGGAACCGTCGGCCCCTCCTGTCTCACACACACGCGTCAATTGTCTCGTTACAGGATCGTGGCAATATCAAAATACATAGTCGTGTTTTTAAATAAACATATAAGCACGTGAGAACAAACTGTTCTTAACGGCAACTCTTTATTAGCATAACTTCCACATGCACGTTACTGCCATGGTACAGACTCCCTCCAGGTTCCCATGCTTCACCTACATTCCCCTGGGTCCTAAGTCCCTCCAGGTACAGCTTCTTATCACCCTCTATGTACCAACATAAATGAATACCATACATATTACGGTAATCGGCATTGTATGTGTGTCTGACCAAAATACCAAAAAAAGAAATGATTCATTTAAATTATATTTTTAGAGTTTTCAAAGTTGTTTTGTTTGGAATATGTATAATAAGCATATCATTTAGTTATTGCTACTGAGAATTTAACAAACATAAAAACATGACAGATAGGTTTGTAATTTTCAAGGTGTATATTTCAAATTGCATCTATTACACACATGAAGATAAAGTTGTGAACACCGGCTGAATATCCATTATCAGAATCATTATAACTGTATTTTAACTGCTACTGTGTAAAGAGAATAATGCTGTTAAAAAGTACCTTATTTTTATTTAAAGTGTTTGCAAACCAAATGTTATTGCACTTTTGCTCATAAAGCAGTACTTTCGCGATTATTCGCAGAAAATCATGTGATTAATCACGATTAAAAAATGTAATGGTTGCCCAGCACTAATAATAATACATCATAGTTTATTCGTTGAAATTTTTTTTTTGTATTAAGGATCTGAATCAGCAAAGCTAATAACTAATATTGTTAAATAAAAGTAGTGAAGTTACAATATTTACCTCTTAGATGTATTGGAGTAGAAGTATATAGTTACATAAAATGGAAACACTCAAGTAAAGTCCAAGTACCTCAAAATTGTCCTTCAGTTGCCTACTTGGTTACATTTCACCACTGCTAGAACAAGTTGAAACATTGTTTAGAAGTGTCATAGTACACTTGTCATAGAATTAGCCTCTTAGTTTTTTTTAGAGTTAAAATGATGCATTTAACTTTAAAAAAAGTAAATTTTCTTCCGGGAGAACATGCCCCAAATGTCCACCCACCATAGTCTCAAAAGATCCTGTGGGAAAGTTACATCTTATTTTGATGTTTCTACTTTATATCATATCATATTGTTGCTTCTCTGCATATTTAGTCTTTAACTGAGCTTGTGGTCATCCATCTAATCATTTGGCTCGCACTGACAACCAGTAGAGACAACATGCTATTTAATCACTATAGAGCCATGCTACATCACAGCTCGATGTGGTCACCAGTACAACAGATCACCAACTGTGACCCAACATCACAGCTGGTTCCAGCTTTGGTTTTTCCTCCTTCCAAAACCCTTGATGTTTACTCTTTAACAGTGTCTCCTACTTTGGTACATTGACTTGTGCTAACTGTGATACCTTTGAAAATAGAATGTTTTTTATACAAAAACATGTCTGTAAAGAAGATTACACACCAGCAGGTATAGCTCTTAGGTGGATGTGAGTGCTTCTGTAAAGAATGAATGAATAAAGAAGTAAACTCACGTCCTCGTCTTTCTCCAGCTCCAGCCCCATGTCTCTCAGTTTCCCCTCAAACTCCTCCCTCCTGAGAATCTTGTGATCCTCTTGGCCATTGAGGGTCTCTGCTAGACAGCCCAGCTCCACGTCTGTCCCCGGTGACGAAGGCGGGGACGATGGGTCCTTCGCCCTTGGTGCTTGGTGATGTCGGATGTGTTGGTCGCGGCTCTGGTAGCCGCGGCGTAGGCTGCGGGCGACAGCATTTTCGGTAAGTAGGTGCGTCGCCTGTCGGCCAGAGCGGCCCACGGTCGACTTCTTCACGGGGTAGGTGAGGACGTAGTCCACGCGCCGCTGACCGTCCAGGAAGTAGAGGCCTTGTTGAGACTGGGTGTTCTCCTGTGGGGTTAGAGCCTTCAGCAGCTGGCAGTGTGCACATGGGGACAAAGGGGGCCAAGACACAAGAGAGAAAGAGAGAGAAGGCAAGAGATACAAAAATTTCAAGATGTGTTCTAACAAAGTACATCTTTCACCTGGTTTAGCAGACAATATCCACAACCTCGCAAGTTATTTTTATTGCAAAATGTATTACAATTTGGGCAATTACTAAAACACCTAATTTCATTCATACATTTTTTAATAACTTTTTTTGCCTTAATTGACAGCAAAATCCTTAAATATGCTGCCCACATTTAAAACATTTTTGTTAACATTAAGTTTAAATGTCTTTGGTTTAATACACTCTGTGTGTCAAGGTTAAGGTACAACTGGTAGCAGGGGAGGGACCTTAGAGGGACGATTAACAGTGATTTTAACAATAAAGAAAATGTTCAAAACAAAACTTGCAGAGCAGGGGAGTCAAAAAATGTGTAACAAAAAAATCCAAGACAAACCACAAAACATGATCAGGTAAAGAGCAGAGCAGACAAACCAACGGTGAGACAGGGGACACAGGGTTTAAATACACTGGGGAGGTGCAGGTGATTAGACACAGGAGGATTCAATCCAGGGCGGGGCAGACAATTACAAAGGCGGGAAAACATACAAAGGCAGGAAGTGAAGTGAACACGAGACACAAGCGGAAGGGAAATTCAAAATAAAACAGGAAACAAACTACAAAAACCAAGACTGTGACACTGTGGGCCATGTGCACCTTTTTTATGTGGCCCATGAGTTATTTTGAATTTAAAATGTCAGTAGCAGCTTGGATTTTCATGTGCGTCTATTTGGGCCGTTACGTTACTTGCTTTACCGCAATCATTTCTCACATTTTAGATCGCAAATAAAACCGTTGACAAAGAAGTCTTAATTTGAACAAAAAAAACAAACAGTTGTATCCGGACCCTGGACCTATAATCAATTTTTAAGGAGCGCTTCTATTTTAACTGGCACAGCTTTTCTAGCCTTTACAGCACTCGTTCAGCGGTCCGGGAAACACACCGACCAATCACATGCATTGTTAATCATATCACGTGATGCTACAGGCCAATTAATGTGTATTCCAATAAGCATCGCGGCTTGAGTGAGATATAAACAGACGGGAGAGACTGGACGAGAGACGGACAGTCGGAATAGTACATGAGTCAGAGAAGTTATTTCACATGCCGTTTTCCTAAAAGAGAAAAGTGGACTGCGAGACCAGAGAGACCAGAGCCTTTAACCAAGAACTCACACCTGAATAAACTGAATTTAATGCTGCAGGACAGACAATTCAGTTAAATACATTTTTCTAAAATTAAGTACTTTATTTTAAGATAAACATATTTAAAAAGCTTTCTTGTTATGTTTATTTATTTTTAAATCTTATTGTAATTGAAATGAGACATTTTTATAACATTTATGTATTAGAGTATTTATTATTTACAAAGAAAACGTCTTTGTGTTCAAACTCTCATCAAATCTTCTCATTTGGTGGTTTGCTGAAATGTTTTAATGTATAACTGTTCAGGATGACTCTGACTATGACCATGTAAAATCACTATTTCACTCCTAACTAAACTGAAAAGTTGGCAGCTCTGGAACAGGCTATCATAGTCATTGTGCTAACTAGCTACCTCAATCATCCATTGGGCTGTAGGAGGATTTGTGAGTGAGGAATATTTTTGTTTGTGTGTTTGTTTTAATATTGTGAAAGCTGCTGTGTTCTTGCCAACTTCAACAGGGTACCAACTGCAATTACTGCATACAGAGTTCTTATACAGTCTTGAAGGTGATATTTTCTGACCTATTGTTATCTCCGCCGGGAGAATCTTGCGATCACTCACGTGTGTGCGTGTGAAAGAAGCTCTAGACACAACAGCTTTTAAGTTTAAGTGACCTTTTAAGTTGATATGGGGAACTTGTTAGCAAACAGTTGTCTATTTACACATCCAGCAGAGATAGAAAAACATTAGCATTCATTTAGAGTCATGTTTCTGGCCACTGGCTACAGCCCAGTCTCATTCCCAGGTCGTCAAGAGAGGCATCGATCAAAACCGGACAGCTTTCAGCTCATCTGCCCTGACCGGTCGATCAGTCTCATATTTTCCAATTTTTTTGCCCGTCACATTTACTTGTGTGGCGCACAATAGTTTTATGTCGGCATACAGCGTCACAGGCCGTAAAACAGTCAGGTGTGGACGTTTTTCAGAAACTGGATGGGTCAAACAAACACATTTATGTACCTAACTGAAGTTACATAAACACGGTAGTTATTTGAACCCAAACCACAACCTTTTCTTAAACCTAACTTGAGTTTTTTTGTTGCATAACCCTAAGTGACGCCAAGGGAAACCCAGGGCATTAAAAAGTTACGCCAAGGGGGCATGAACAAGCATCCATATGGTGCCAGTTGGAAATGAGAACGGGTTAGAATATAAGTCAATAACCTCTGAGAAAAAACTTTTTAAGGCTACACTACTGTTCGCCGCTGGGCAGGCAGTGTACAATGGAATGCACAGTAATATGTTTCCTTAAAATGAACTGCTAAACACTGCTAATGTTATGTTCACATTAAACCCTCAACTGAGGATCCTCACATTGTAGATGGATGAAAATCCAACTTTCATTTGTATAAATGCTGTTGTTATCTTTTCTTTTTCTTTGTCATATTCCATTGTCATATCCATATTGCAGTGGATTATGGGTCATTTTCCAAGTGAAAACCCTGGAAGTCCTCAGTAAGTCCACTTGAGGCCCTTTGTGGACCTGATGAATAGTGGATTTAGACTTCCTAAGAACTCCTTGTTAAGTTTACAAGTCTGGCAGTAAATCCAGACATTTGGATTCAGCCTCACTGCTTGTGGGAAAACATCTGTATGACTTCTGAATTTCCAACACATTTCTATAATTGAGATGGCATAGACCCAAATGATGATTTCAGGAGCTTGGGGGGGGGCAGTAGGGTGTTGTAGTAGGGGTGGCAGTCGCTATCAGTCTGTGGTGCTTAAATTCTATATGAGATATAAATAGTGTGTGAATCGTGAGCTGTCATGACCTGAGCCTACAGTATTTCTCCCCATGAAGTCTACTTACAGTATAACGGTCTGGCTGTAGATCTTAGGGAAGGTGTCTGCGGATCAAACTACACAGAGAGCACGCACCAACATCTAAAGGGGAACTCCACCCAGTTTACACTTTAAGCTCAGTTTACTGGTCACGGGTAGGGGTGGGTTTTCTAGCTGGTTCCCATATTGGATACAGTTCACAGTTGGCAAAATACATAAACATTCACGTAGAAGCTTCTCTTTTTAGTGGCAGCAAAAAGCTCATAACCTCAGCAAAAATAAGGAATGAAGTCACCAGAACACCTGCTTAGATTTCTCAGTTCATAAAGCTGCCATTAATGTAACAGTAACACTAAATATAGTACAGTTCTCTGTCCTTTTTTCCCTTATGATGTCCCTTAAGTTGGGAAACTCCTTTTCCTTGCTACTTCAACCAACTTAGGTTGAGTAAATAACAAATAAAATTGAATAAAACCAATGTTCATCTGCCCGGATAGTGTGTTGTTGTTTTTTTTCACTCAAAAATCCAAATTAACGACTTTGCAGTAACTTTGATATTACTATAGTCATTCCTCTTAGCTGCCACACATGTAAAACCCTGGCGCTAGCAACGCAACCAGCATTTTCTTAATTCATTATATTTGTTGGAGCCATCATGTAGTTTTGTTGTTTTCTTTTGTTTTTGAGGGAAACACGGGGTGGGTTTACACATGCAGTTCTGACATTGAACAGTGGGTGGCACATTGACCTAAAAGTGCATATAGGTAAGGGCCTGGTAATGAGAATCAGGTGAGTGTGGACGGGAAGCTAACAGTTTTTGACCGTGTCAATGTGGCGTGTCAGCCGGCGTGTCAGCTTGGAGTTTCAAGGTCTTATATTATCCTGTCAAGTATCCTGTGGTGTTCTGCTATGGTGTCAATGTGCTAACGGAATAAATGGACAGCGCACTGGACAGTGAAATGTTTGTGGAACATGCGTCCGAACAAGTTCTTCTGTTCGCCCCCCCAATGGCTTTAAGATATAAAATGGATATTTGTTAAAGTCACTACATTAAGTAAAAAACTGGCTTCATTTGAGCTGGTATGATCGACATCGCTGGATCGAACAGCTGATCGACATCACGTGATTCAAGAGCTGATCGAATAGACATCGCTGGAATGTTGTTTGCTTTGAAATCTAATTGGACAACTGATCATCACCACCACCAAGCTATGATTTCGGACCAATGGACACTCTGAATGGACAGAGGTATATAGCGCTACCAACATGTCCATGTTAAAGTTGTGTGCACACTTTTATTTTGAGTGTAAATCCAATGCATTGGTTCCAATTTATAGGCTTAAAAATAAGACCTGTATGGGTGGTTTAATTTTGAATTGTATTTAATAAATGTTGAATTTCATATAGGTGTAAAGGTACAAAATCAAGGTTCTATTGTTAATGAGCCAACCGTGGCTGGAACACAATTCCAGCACGGCCAATAGTGAAAAGGAAACGCAATGTGTCAGTAAACGTCCTACTAAACCGACACAAAAGGCATTAATGGATAAACTGGACAAGCTACAAAAGGCTCGGAAGGCCAAACTAAACAAAGCTTCTGACCTTAAAAGGACAATTCAAGACCTAATGCATGACAGAGAATATAAAACAGAGGTGCAATGTACTTTTGATGAATACACAACTCTTTGCAATGAAGCAAAGGAACAACGTCAATCTATCACAAATCTTATCTCATGAAGAAAAGGACAAACATGAGATATGGTTCAAAGCAAAAATGTTGAGTGTTAATGAATTTAGTGATACTGTGAATAAGTGGTTGTCTAATGCAAACATTTCCAAACCTGATGCTTATGAGAGTGAAGTCAAACCCAGTGACAGCATTTCCAATGTGGAAACAAATGTTTCTATTGAGAAATTGAGAAGAAAAAGGTCACACCAATTCAAGAACCAGCAAATCTTCTTCATCTGTACGGATTCAGACAGAGGCAGAGAGAGCAGTACTTGAAACTCGCGCTGCAGCCTTAAAGGAGAAGCACAAGCTGGAGGAACAATCAGAGTTGCTGAGAAAGAAAAAGGAAAGACTGGAGGTTGACACAGAAAT